TTTTTGACACAAAGTTTCAATGAACGATTAGATTTCAACTCTTTCAGAGCAAAAAGTCTTTTAAAATTTCAGTTTGGTACTCCAGTTTTCATATATAGGCCTCTATCTGCCACATAATGTTTGCTCCTGATATATAGGAACTGCATACAAAGTATTTACTGAACCCTTTAGAATGATAAAGGAAACAGATGTAATTGGTATACACACAAGCTACAGTAAATTGTAATAATGACACATTCTAATTGTACCTAAATTAAAATAATGCAGGCTGTATTGTTGCATAAACGTAAACAGAACTCCACTCTAGAATCCTCAGAGCATTCTGCTCAAAACTGAAGCCACAATATGATCCAGTGAAACAAAATCACAACACTGGGGATCTTGCCATGTGTTGTGATACTGCCAGTTTCTTCCACTGGTATATGCATTGTCATGTTATAATAGTACCTTACGTCACCACTGTACTTCTGAAAACATTAAATAAAGAGAGTTACATTTTATGGTATGCTCAGTGTAATGGTTTCTGAAACAGCGATTAAAATGATTTGGTCCTGGCTACACTTGCAGTTAACCTTGGTTTCCAGAGCCGGTTCAGCTGCCCCTTTAACCAGTGGGTTAACTTCCTAGTATAAAGAAGGTAGGTCATGAATTGATATGGATCACAGCAATTGTTAACAATCAAGAATTGGGACAGAAACACTCACTTGCAAATGGAGATGATGTAAATAGCATAACATGAATATAAAAGGAAAGCCTGCTTGACATGCAAATCAAATTTGCACAGAGTTTGGTTCACTTTTATCAAGTAAGCTGGAAAAGGATGCAGGGGAAGAAATGTTTGCCACCAAGTTGAAGAGCATCCAGATCTAAGACCTGAATTTGCAGAGAAATCCCAGGTTTTACACATGGCCCTGGTCTTTCAGTTGGAGCGTTGATTTTTCTGCAGTGCTTCAGAACATTAGCCAAAGGGCAGAAATACCTTAGAGGTCTCACACTACTGTCTCAGTCCTCCTGCTGTTCTCCCTCTCCTCATCTCCTTGTCATAACTTGTATTAAAGGAGGAAAATCCTTCACTCTTTCTCCACTACTATACTACTGGATGTAATGCATACAAGATACACGTTTCCTTAATGTCTCTTTTATTGGGCTTCTTCTAAAAACCCTCAGGCATGGAGAAATTAAGTAGACCAAGCTATACTCTTAGCAGGACATCATATGCCAGCACCACTGTACAGTCATAGTTAAGGCTGTGTGTTTTGCAGTTACAATGGAAGTTCAAGCTTGTTTTGTATGAAAAACAGTGCATCTGCCCCAAACTTTTGGCATATAATCTCTGAGTATAGCTTGAATTTTCTGAACAATTTCAAGAAGATCAGTTAACTTCTTCCCTAAATATGAATGAGTGTTTTTCCAGAACAGAGAGTAGGAGTGACTGCTGGGGGGAAGTTTGGCTCTTAATAGTGGTGGTGGTCTTGGGAAGGCGATATTGACAAGTTGGCACAACCTTAACTCTGCCCATTAGGATGCCATGTTGGCATTGTTATAAAGGTCATTCTAGTAGTGAGGTGTGTGTGTGTTTGGGTTGAGGAATAAAAGGCATATTGTGTTGGATGATTTAACTTTTTGTTTTCTTAGTTTTGTGTTAAGTGTGTTGTGTATAGAGCAACCTTAACTCTCTCACAACAGTGTTTTTGTGTAGTATATTGGAAACAGACAAACACAATCAGGATTCCCCCATTGTGCAATGTTCTTACCTTTTATAGCCACAACAATCTGATCACATGGGATGTTTACGCCCCATCTTATCCTAATAGAGAAGAATCTGTTCAAGTGTTAGTGAGAGGTGAAAACCACTAAGTTCCCTGCTCATGTGCGGTAAAATGAAATTCCTTCATGACCCCAAATTTGGTGGTGATTTAAGCTCTGCTTGTGCACAAGAATCACTTGCTTCATCCACTGGTGATGGGGAATGGGGGCAAAGTCCTTCTTTGATGTAACCTAAACTTGGTTTGCATGTGTCTTTCATTTCCAGACTGTCCATGTGTTTCTCATATGTTGCATAAAATAAATAAATCATTACTGAAGCCTTTGTCACCTCTTTAAGAACCTGTACGTACAAGAAGATTCCCTGTTTGCCTTCATAACCTTGTCTTCTCCAAGTAACATAGACTTAAGCTCTTCACTATCTCATAACTAAGATCCTCCATACCTTTTGATCATCCGTTTTCCTGACCTTCAGAATGTATGCATCTCTACATTGACAGCGTGCTCCAAACTGAATGAAGTGGTGGAACTCGAGCAGGCTGCTATTTCAAGTACCTTAGCTTTTTGTGTTAACCTGATTCCTTTTCCCCCATCTCTCTGATTCTCCCTGGCAGGCAGTGAAGTATTGCACAGGAAATGTTTGACTACTAGCCTCTTCTATATAGTGAAAATAACTTTTCTGGTATCAAAGGCCTTAAAAAAACAACACTTCTACTTCAGGCAGTAGCCTTAGTAGTTTCAGGTTCCCAGCTCATATGACCAAAAATTTCAGCTTCAGCAGTTAAACCTTTATAAAGTTTCCCCTTTGTTTGTGGGCTTCAGTGAATAATCTTTTTCTTTTTGAAATATGTCACTATTTTTATCAACTGAAATTAGGTTGTTGATCATTTATCATATTGATAAAGAAACTGTCGGAGCCTCTATCAAATTAGTGTTGAATAAAGACTGGGAGTGGATGGGTCATTACACAAGCTGAAAACGATTTCCTCATGCTAATTTCCCCCCTACTGTTACTCACACCTTCTTGTCAACTGTTTGAAATGGGCCATCCTGATTATCACTACAAAAGGTTTTTTTTCTCCTGCTGATAATAGCCTGCCTTCATTGATTTGTCTCCTTAGAGTTGGTATGACACCCTCATCTTTTCGTGTTCTCTGTGTATATATATCTTCCTACTGTATTTTCCGCTCCATGCATCCGATGAAATGGGTTTTAGATCACAAAAGCTTATGCCCAAATAAATTTGTTAGTCTCTAAGGTGCCACAAGTACTCCTCGTTCTCTTTTTTAAATAGGTAGTCGTCCCGTCAAAACCAGACTGCTTAAGGACCTATTTCTGCAGATCCCAGTGACCTGCAGAAGGGATTGTATCACGATTTAAATTTTGGTACTTAAGCTTTTCAGGCTAAAAATACTCCTCCTTGCAGGTGTTAACTGCTAATGTTATCAACTGGCTATGGCACTCTTAGAGGTGGGGCATTACACTAAATGAGTTTGGCTGGAAATATTTTCTGCATGTGTTCCTTAGGCTTAGATTGTCAGCTCTCTGGGGGCAGGCACAGCTTCCTTTATATGTCTGCACAGCGGATCTCATCTAACTGATAGCTACAGTCACATACTAATGGTTACATAAGTATATGGGAGTCATGCCCTTCAGTTTGGATTAATAGTCACTGAAGCAAATTCAGACTTGGCATGATTAAAGGACTGGTTTGGGAGGGGTTTGTCTAGCAGATTCTCATAATGGAAATGCAAAGGGACTGGGGCTGAGCACATAGGAAAGAGCACACATGGGGTGTGCTAGAAGGGGATAAGCAAGTGCGGAAAGCAACAGTTTGGGAGTATCTTGAATCATGATTAATCTAAAACAAAGCACAAGACTCAGGAAAAATATCATTCCCAAGAGAGAACAAGTCCTGCCCCCTCTCACTTTTGTCTTTTTTCTAAAATGATTAATGAGTTGGGCTGCCATTGACCTCCTGCTTCTCCTCTCTGCATAATCTGATTTTCAGAGGCACACGTTACTCTGAGCAAAGCAGCACCAGACCCCTCCATAATGGTCTTCTGCTCCCTGAAAACAGATTGTTGTGTGTGGTCTAGGGGGTCACACAATGGGGACTGTGGCAGAGGAGGGTGGGAAGTGTGGAATAAATCCTAGATCTCTGAATCATTTTAAAACACAGCAGCCAATTTTTTAAAAAAATAACAACATACACTTCCCACACTGACTTCTGGGAACCTGCTCATGGTCTGGGGCGGATCAGTTCCAGTTGATTATACAAGCCTGGAAGAAGAGGGGGACAAAACAGCTGAACCGGTGTTAACTAAATGTTCAGCTGGAGTCTGAAGGGAAGAGTCTTTTTTGGAGCACAGCAAGGACCGGGAAGGCCTTTTTCTGAGCAGGGAGAGCTTGCCTGCAGGTTTCTTACAGGTACAGTACAAGGCACAGCAGGCCATTCACGCAACAGATTGTTTTCTTTACAGTATGCCACCTCTGACTGGAATAACCCACTCCTGGTGTAAAAAAACCCATCACATTGCCTGGAAATGCTACTGCACTCAGAGTTAATTATGTTCTAAAGAGCAGCTCATCTCCCTCCTGCAAAGAGGAGAGTGAACAGGAAATGCAATGATCCTGACCAAAACTGATTATTGGGGGTGGGAGAGAGGGAGAGGTGAGTGAAATGCTGGGATGTGGGGAGTGAAGAGGAGGAAGATGGACTGGGGATGAAGGAAGGATTTTTTGTTTGTCCCAGATTCTGGAATTCTATCCTGAGGTTTCTGGGATTTTGCAGGCTTTCTCTAGTCCCTGAAGGTCTGCTGATGGGGTGAAAATCAAGGAGAGCTAGAGAGGAAAAGATGGGAAGAATTTGTTCATTTCAGCCAGTCCCAACAGCAGAGTGGGTGGGAGATCCAGAATTTGGCATGCTCCTTAAATAAATAAATTAATGAAGTTGCACTGACAATGTAAATATCATGCAGTGAAATGTTAAGCATGTACAGCCTTTGCTTCCCTTCCATCAATTCTTTAAATTGCTCCTCTTTTTGGCATCTCTTGTTGGTCTCGCAAAGTGTGCTGACAAGAAAGACTGGAGGTTGTTCCTTGCCCAAGTCTTTATGTTCAGACTACAGCTGCTTCCCCCCTTATCTCTGCTCACATTTTCCCATTCGGTAAGTTTGGAAAATTCCTCTCTGATTTCACTGGAAAGGACAGGAAATTCTCTTTGGGAGACGGTTGCCTATTTCTCGCTCTAGTTTTGCTGCTCACATCTGGAAAGGATCTGACTTGGGAAAGGGAAAATATCTTTCTGTGCTCAGTGTGTGTAACTGACATGGCATGAACTAAGGGGAGCCTTTGGGGGCAAGAGAAACGCTTTTCTCCATTCATTTGATCTCTGTCAACAACGGTGAGTTGTTTTAGCACTTTATTTTGTAACAGTTTGGTACACTGAGAGCATTGAACAAGCCTGCCTTTTAGCTACAGCCTTTAGAAAAGACATTTAATGCAAATAACAAATACACATGACCTGCTGATCTTAAAAACAAATGAAGATCATGTTTTTTAAAATTGAAACTGTCTTGTAAGGCTGAGTGTGGAGAGCTGTAGACATGATGGTGAAATATAGAGAACATGCTTATGCTGTTTGTTCAGATCATCTTCCTTACTGTACAGTGTAACTGACTCCTGCAACTTCCCTTGCTGCTTGAGGCTGATTGCTGAAGCACTGGGCTGCTGGTACTGCAGTGGATGATGGTAGCTGCAATGTGATGGAGTAAATTTTGGTTCTATATGGAACCGTGCACAATGAAATCAGAAGGTGCAGACACAACCCAGAAGAAACCCTGCGCTGACTTCCAATACAATTGCAATTTTGTTCTGAGGCACAGGGCCTGATCCAAAGTTCACTGATGTCTTTCCATTGACTTCAAGGGGTTTTGGATCAGGCCCTTAGTAAACTAATGTGTTTTGGATTATGCTCTTAGTGATCTTAACAGGGTTAGTCTCTTCAAGCTTTCTTTGAACTAAGAGAAATCAAAATCCATGCCTACATTTACTTCCTGAACTCCAGAAGCAAGCAGATGTTCCTTATCCAAAGTGTCACTCTGTGGCACCCTAGCAATAATCACTTCAAAGGCATTGTAGCAGAAAAGCACATATTGATGGCAGCAGTGTGAGACTTCCTCTCGCATATTAGAACATGATACCAGATTTTACACTCTCACCTCGCTTTAGTCAACTGATGTCTATGTAAAAGTGTCAAAAAGCACTAGTTTGAGTCCAAAAACGGTCAGGCCAACTATAGCTCTGGTGTAAGTTGGTTCTGCTGCATTGACTTCAATGTAGTTACACCAGGGCTGCCTCTGGCTGACATTTAAAATATTTTAATTAGTCCTTTTTTCATCAGCTATAAGAACAAATCAATATATGATTTAAAAAAAACAGAAACTGTGTTTTTTCTAGCTTTTCAATACTTTCAGAAGACATCAGGAAAGATTAGGTAACAACGATAAACCAATTAGCTGTGTCAGGTTTCTGAGGTCAGGTCTGGCACTAAATATTCTCAAAAAGAAAAGGAGTACTTGTGGCACCTTAGAGACTAACCAATTTATTTGTGCATAAGCTTTCGTGAGCTACAGCTCACTTATTGAGCTGTAGCTCACGAAAGCTTATGCTCAAATAAATTTGTTAGTCTCTAAGGTGCCACAAGTACTCCTTTTCTTTTTGCGAATACAGACTAACACGGCTGCTACTCTGAAACTAAATATTCAAGAGTTCTATATACCTCACTGCTAGCAGACGCACTGCGCTACATTTTGATCTCACACGAGTAGACGTCTAGAGTAACTCCATTCCAATCCATTAATTTACTTTAGATTTACACCAATTAAACTGGTAACAAATCTGGCCCAGTTACTTCTGGAGTGCCTAAAGTTTTGTAAAAACAAAGGCATACACAGGAATAAAACACCAGGGGCTGGCCTGTGTCAGCTGCTTCATGCTTGGGCTATGGGGCTGTAAAATTCTGATGTAGACATGTAGGCTCAGGCTGGAGCTCAGAGTCTAGGACCCTGTAAGGGAGGAGGGGCCCAGAACTCAGGCTCCAGCCTGAGCCCAAAGGTCTACACTTCAATTTCATAGCCCCAGGCCCTGAGCCCCACAAGCCCAAGTCAGCTAAACTGGGGCCAGCTGCAGGGCCGCAGGTGTTTCATTGCAGTGTAGACATATCTTGAGACAGCTGACCCAGGCGAGCCACGGGTGTTTAATTGCAACATAGACAAACCCAATGCATCTGAGGGCCAGATTCTCACTTGCTCAAAAACAGCTGGTCTCCCAGTTCACACCATCTGAAAACCTGGCTCTGAGAGGTTCTTGTTTCTGAACTCAAAAGAGAAGCATTGATTGTCAGAACTGAATGGAGTAATTATGTCATATTAAGGGCGACAACCCATTATGTTTGGATCTTGAAGGAGCAGTATCAATACAAACCAGCTATCCCAGAAAGGCTGTTCCAGGACCTTCCATGTTTGGAACTGGCTGGAGCATGCAGTAGACCCTAGATCACATTGTCTCAAATGCTGCATCCTCTGCAGGACTGAAAAAAGAAGAAAGGATAAAATAAAAGGCCACTACCAGCTCTTACTGCAAATCATCATCTATGAAACCTGAGACGTGCTAAGAATGAAACAGAGGGAGCTGGGCCTGCGCCAGCTGGCTCATTCGGCAGATATTTAACTTCTGTTTAGATTATTCCAACCTGCAGCCAGAAAGATAGAGGTTGAATAATAGCCAAGGCTCTAAGGTTCAGATAAATGTTGCTGTCCAAAATCAATGGACGATCCAGACCATATTTTACTGCAGTAGCTCAAGATTTCATTACGGTTCAATGCATATAAAACAGACGCAGTGTAGGGCCATCCTGACAGCATGAGTCACTATTTTCCAGCACACCTTGTTTACATTAACCAGGGCACTGTGTAGTGATGGGAATTTATTTCCATATGCAAAACTTTGTGGAACATTATGATCAACAGTTGCATAAGAATAACATTGCATAACCTCATATATAAATCTCTCCAAGGACCTGGCGTTTCTCAGTGTGAGAAAGGGAATAACTTACTTCAGTAGCTGGGTCTAGTTCAGTGGATGCTGCTACCCCTGCAGCCACACGGCGCCCGGGGTAGCCACTCTTGAGACACGTTGAAACAATAATGCAGTGGTTCTCAAACTGTGGTCGACATGGCACTGCCCAGTCACATGACCTTTATTCCTCTCCTTGTTTCCAGCTCCTAAATTGCTTTAAAAGAAACTGAAAATACATAAAGGGAGAGTAAGAATGGGCTAATGGTTAGGGTGTTAGTCTGGGGCTGGAGAGCTCAAGGCTGAAGTCCCAACTTTGCCACAAACCTCTGTGTAACCTTGCGCAAGTCTCCCTGTGCCTTAATTCCCCCTAGGTCATCGGGGCACTATTAGGATAAAAAGACTAAAGACCATGAGGTACTCAGATACTATGGGTCATATAGAGATACAGAGAAAATGGTGGGGTCTAATTTAGCTGTTTCCACTCAAGAAAGAGATCTTGGAGTCTGTGGATAGTTCTCTGAAAACATCCACTCAATGTGCAGCAGCAGTCAAAAAAGCAAACAGAATGCTGAGAATAATTAAGAAAGGGATAGATAACAGGACAGAAAGTATCATGTTGCATTTATATAAATCCATGGTACGCCCACATCTTGAATACCGCATGCAGATGTGGTCTCCCCATCTCAAAAAAGGTTCAGAAAAGGGCAACAAAAATGATTAGGGATATGGAACAGCTTCCGTATGAGGAGAGATTAATAAGATTTGGACTCTTCAGCTTGGAAAAGATGACTAAGGGGGAGGATATGATAGAAGTCTATAAAATCATGACTGTTGTGGATAAAGTAAATAAGGAAATGTTATTTACTCCTTCTCATAACACAAGAACTAGGGGTCGCCAAGTGAAATTAATAGGCAGCAGATTTAAAACAAACAAAAGGAAGTATTTTTTCACACAACGTACAGTCAGTCAACCTGTGGAACTCCTTGCCAGAGGATGTTTTGAAGGCCAATACTATAACAGGGTTCAAAAAAGAACTAGATAAATTCATGGAGGATAGGTCCATCAATGGCTATTAGCCAGGATGGGCAGGGATGGTGTCCCTAACCTCTGTTTGCCAGAAGTTGGGAATGGATCACTTGATGCTTACCTGTTCTGTTCATTCCCTCTGGGGCACCTGGATTGACCACTGTCGGAAGACAGAATACTGGGCTAGATGGACCCTTGTTCTGACCCTGTATGGCCGTTCTTATATACCTTAGCTGGACAGATGAAATGCTTTCCTAATGTTCCATATGACAACTACTACAATCCTCACAGGGATGAGATGTGATTACAAATAGGAGGGAACAGTGGGTCAGTATTTATGAAGAGTTGTCTGTTGAATCACCAGTGCCGCTGCTCTGTAAGTGTGATTGCTGTGTTATGCGTAAATAGCTAATGACGTCCAACAGGTGGTGCTCAAGAATATGTAGCATACTTCCGAGTTCTGTAGGTCCAATAAAATGCCTTGTTGTGCACTGCATAGGGCTTCCTCTTTAGATGGAGCTCTTAATAGCCACCCTCTGCACCCCTGGTCCTTTAGCCTCTTTCATGCACTTACTGTAGAATTCCTACTTTACCAAGATACTTATGTGTGCTTAAAAGGGCAGATCTGCTAGGCTCTGTGGCAAACCATTATGAGGAACAAATTAAACGTGAACGGTCGTAATGCCATCTGGCAATAATACAGACAGGTGGAGGGTTTCCACAGCTGGGCTGGCTAATTGAAATATGCTGCAGTCTTGCCAAGTCTCAGTTTCCACTGGGCCTGGAGTCAGTCCGGTAATGATGCGAGAAACTCCAGTCCTCTCCTGAATTTTAGTTTTGCCTGGAGGGGGAAACCGCCTTCTGATTGGCTGCTTTCCTTGCTTCTCTGGCTCCTGGAGAAGGGAAGCCAATCAGGGCTGTTGCAGGATGCAGGCTGAGCTCTCTCTATCTCCCTTGCAACCTGACACCTTCACTGTGTTGGGGGGTGTGTGTGTGGAAGGAAGCAGAAAGAGCTCAGGGCAGCTCTGCTCCCTCCCTCTCTTCCTGTGAGCAAAGGGACTGTTCCTCCTCTTCCCTCCCAGACTGGAAGGGACAATGGGGGGTAAAAAGCTCCTGGAGCTGCTCCCAGCCCTAGCCTGGAAAGGGGAAAAGGGAATCCTGTTGCAGGTCCTTGCCAGGCCTGGGTGAGGGAGGGGAAAGGGTCCAGGAGCTGCAGAAGGAGCAGAAGTGAAACTGGAAGGGCAGTGCTGATGGGGAATTGAGGGGGCAGAATTAGTTGCTGGGCAGGGGGACAGGCAGATGTTGGGGGGAGAGCTCCTGCAATGGGAGCCAAAATCACCACAACCAATTTAGAAGTGAAAAGAGAAAAGCACAATACAAACTTTATAAAAAATCTCATGATTTTTGCCAATCGCTTTATTGTTAGGAGGCTGACTCAGGATTTTTGAATCTGTGGGGTTGACAATACTGATGCTGAGATGTTAGCTTGGTTGCCCGCACGGCAATTAGACCCATTCTGCTATTTGGTGTGATTTTTATTGTTTAAATCGCCTGCTATGTGGCAGTCAACCCGAAATGATTAGGTCCTTTACCTTCCACTTGTAGTTTGTGTTGGGCTTTAAAACAGAAATAGTATTTAGCCTGCAAAAATACTAACTCCCCACTTACCGTGATGTTTGTTTGGTTTCAGTGGAAATGCTTCCAAACAGCAGATCCCTGCTGGTGCTGTGGCTTTTGGTATTTAGCTACAATATGATCCATGGTCACAATGATGAAGACAATGAGTTTCTGGAAAATTCATCCAAATTACTGAATCCAGACCCTAATTTCCTGGCTCCGGACTGCCCTAGAGACTGTACCTGCACCCAGGAAGGAGTTGTGGATTGTGGAGGGATCGATCTGAAAGAATTTCCCATAGATTTACCAGAGTCAACAAACCACCTTTCCTTGCAGGTAAAATAAAACACAACAGGATTGTTCACCAAAACAGCAGGCCTGATTCAGCGCTATCCCATGGCTCCTTTGAATAGAGCCAGTGGGGGCCTATCCACTTGCCTCAGAGCTGGGGTGTTCTGGGACTGGCTGTGGGTAGAGAAAATGTATGGCAGGGCATCCCTACCCTCAGCTGTTTCTCACTGCCATAAAACCCATGTGGTCTAAGACAGTGGGGAGCACAAGGTAGAGCAGCCCTGATGGCTAGGCTGGGGCCACACTGTGCCCTGGCAGCCCATGGATTAGTCCCCAGAAGATTCCCTACCCCTAGCTCCCAAGGCTGCTTGCATCTCTGGCTCTCTGATTTTCCCTTTCTGTTTCTTCTTTCACCTTCCTGGCTCAGAGGTCAGCGATCTGATCAGCAGAAAGATTCTGTGCCTGACAAATATTAATTACATTGAAGTTTATATTCATTTATTTTAAAACGTTTTTTTCCCCTCAGACAGGTATGGGAGACCTTTAACTCTGGTATTACTCCTCCCTGAGATCTGGTTGTGTAAGGAGAGCAAATGATCAAAGTTGAGACCTTCCTTGTGGCTCAGAGGAGAATTTTTCCTCAAATAAGAGCCTCCAGTGTATAATAATTCTTAATTCTGCTCTCCCTTTGAAAACCCAGGCTTAATTCTTCCCTGGTGTAACTGCAGCAGCTGCCAAGAAGTTCCCTCGTCTCACTTATTAATTGAAATATCATAAACAGGATCCACTGGCCCAGATGCATTGCCCTACCCCCAGTGCCAAACATCCCCCAAGCCCCCATCTATACAGAAACATGGGAAGTTAAATGGTCGTGATGAGCAAAATCATCCAAATGAGAAGAACTTACAAGGGCTGAAAACAGCCATCTTGCGACCTCGTTGGGAACCCACAGGGAGGGAATTCCATAGATGAGGCCCTTGCACGCAGCTGGTGCTGACCTCATCCAAGCCAAGTTCAGCAATATGATCCCAGTGGATCATTTTAAAATGGAAGGCAGTAGGCATAATAAGCTCACTTCCCTAAATAATGGTTATGTTTATTAAGGCTGAGTGGTTTTTCAGGGCAAGGGTATGCATGTGTGAGGATATATGTTCTAAACTTCTTAGGCCTTGTCTACATGCGAAAGTGTTACCAGCATAACCCTCTGTGTGGACTCTCATTCTGGAGGGTGGCTTTTTTTTTTTTTTTTAGTTAAACCTCTTCCCAAGTGACTGACAAACTAAATGTAATAAAGGCACTCATGCTGATGTCAGAGTGCTTTCTAGGGGATTATACTACTGTAACTACACTGGATTAAATTCATGCCTTAGTTATACAAGTCTAACTTTCCCATGTCGACAGGTCCTTAGAAGAATCAACTCACACTGTGCTGTCAGTAGCTTCATTTGCCAAGAAGGGGTTTTTGCAGGAGTTTAGTAAGTTGCAATTTAATTAAAGGCATATTTTTCCTCCCTTTGATCCATCGTCTGAGGCCTCTGGTAGAGCAGGGCAGTTGTGTTCAAGACAAGGTGATTAATGCTGGTGTTTATCAAGTCTGACTGAAAGTCCTTAAAATTAAGCCCTTCCCTTTCCTTGCTTGCCACAGTGGTGCTGTGTTACTGCTCCCCATCAGGCAAGCGTTTGATCAAGTGTTGATTGCTATTCATTCATAAGTTTTGAAATGTTGTAGCACCAGGCCAGTGGAACACATTCATAATTATTCTTTTTTACTGGAGAACGTGAGCCAGATTGTGTGCTTAGTTAAAGCAGTGTGAATTCAAAGTAATTCCACAGTCAATGCAGTGACTGCAGATTCCCGCTGGTATGGAATGTGTCCTGTGGTCCCTAATTAGTGTATTTTTGGTATTTATCATGTTTGATAAATTGATGGAGTGCACAGTTTTGCAATGGAAAATTCAGAGTTGTCAATCAATGCACAGCTGTAGTCAGAAAAGTTGTAATGTAAAATGACACCTTATTACTCAACAGATCTGCTCCAGGTGTGTTCCAGTTAGAGCTATTTTACTGTCAAAACAGAAGTTTAACTCCTGTTAGCCCACTAGATGGGCTGTGGGAGACTGGACAGGATTCCATACTGTAAGCTCTTTGGAGAAGAGGCTGTAATTTTCTATATATAGCTCTTAGCCACTGACCTGGTTGAGGCCTATAGATGCTACCATAATATACATGTTTAATACGAATATGAACGCTGTTAAGCCTTGTATACTATAAAATAATGTTAACTAAAGTCTGATGGCAGATTCTTTATTAGCGGTGGCATGTCAGAAATAGAACCCAACTTGACTTTCAGATCTCATGATGAGTTTGCAGTTCGGAAAAAAATCTTTCATTCTACTTATAAAACCAATCACGTTTGATTTAAAAAAATAAAACCACTGACAGAAAATAAACCTGGGACCCCCCCCCCCAATATGCCAGTCTTACATAGTCCTTTTTCAGAGTAAAGCTGTGCTTTAATTACCTGCCAGCTGTTCAGAGGGTTTGTCTCTGGCTAAGGGCATTATAGGCTTTACTAGAACCTGTTCCTCATAAAGTACAGGACCTGGATATTTCTAGGGATGATCCCAAGCTGCAGAACATGGCTTTGCAAGATTTCAAATTCTGCTAACTTTGGGTTTGTCAGATTTGAGATCTGAGTTTGGCCTTTATAGTCAAGGGTCTATTTTTGACATTCAGATCCAGATCCAAAATTTCCAAAAGTTCAGAGCTAGGGTCCTTCTCTGATTACTTAACTGATGATTTCTATTCTTCCTTTCCTTAGAATAACCAGATAGAAGAAATCTTTCCAGAAGAGCTTGCACGTCTTTACAGACTAGAAACGCTCAATTTACAGAACAACAGGCTCACTTCGAAAGGTAAGCTGGAAAAGCCAAGCATCAGAGTATAGAGAGCCACTGATGAGCACTGCAGCAAGCCAGTCAGTGGTCACAGATGGACGGCGTGAGGAACGGTGTGTGTGCTCAGATGTTATTAAATGATTAGAATGGTTGGCTAATCAGTGTCACTCCTTTGGCCAGCACACAAAACGTGGAGGCACTTCATCATCTGAAAAATAATGCTCAGTGCATAAAAATGCAGTCCTCCTTGTACCAAAGGAAGAGACATGGCAGCAATATTATGTACTGTGGCATAGTACACGCATATCCAGGAAACTCCCTCCAGTCCCTCTAGAGCGCATCAGTACAATCCAAATTGGATCCAGAAATATCTGCATGCTGAACAAATTCCCTATGACAGAGCCTGCTCCTTAATTCACTCCTTCAGTTCAATTCAGTTAATTTGATGTCTAATTACTCAAAACCTTTGGAACCAAACCATATTAATTAAAAATAACATAACTCCCACCCTTTCTGTCAACCCACTTTGACTGCTTCAGGCAAGTTTTGCTGGATAAGTCAAGCACTCGAACATTGCCATTTAGTTAATAAGGAAAAGGCCAGATTTTGAAAGAGGAAGAAAAGAGAGGCTGGGGAAGAGCCACATGATAATAAAGGGGGAAGGTGTGTGATTCAGAATGGTACTGCTGTCAACACCCTCTGGTGTGACCCTGTCTGTGAGGTGCACCCTACTACTCAAACGGATAACAGGAGCAGCCTCCTATTTCAGGGTGTACAAGTAGACTTGATTGGAAGCACTGGGCCATTGTACATCGATAATGCACAGCAAAATGAAAATTTTACTTAATAGATTCAGGACCTGGTCTTGTTCCCTTTTCAGTTAATAGTGAAACTTCTTCCATTAACTTCAGTGGGTGCATGATTGAGCTGTAAGTTTCAAATATGCTATGATTTAGACTATGTCCTTATGAGAAGAATTTTCTACAAGTTCATAAAAAGAAATTAACCAAAAAACTCTAAAGATGTTGAGGTGCAGGGGAGGGAAGAAAATCCACATTTGATTCCTGTCCTTTCTTCCCAGGCAGCATGGATGCTCTGTGCAGTTAGTAATATATATCCCACAGCAAGCGACCTTAAATCCGGTGCATTCTTTTACATCTTCTGATCATCACGCTCGTTACTACAGGCTAAGCAATGTGCTTTGTTCAGACAGCTCTTTTTATGAATCTCTTTAGCCTTTATAATAACAGAAAATGAAACAACAATGAAAAGCATGTGTCAGGTTGTTTCTGAAAAATATTTAAAACTTACATTATAGATATCCTTTGGGAGACAAAAAAGCCCCTCTAGCATTCTCATTCACAAAGGGTGCTGACTGTAAATCATTCCTGTTGTTTGAAGGGCTTCCAGAGGAGGCATTTGAACAGCTGGAGAATCTGAATTACTTGTACCTTGCAAACAATAAGGTAAGAGGGGACATGGTTTTTGTAGATGCCTTCTGGCATTATTCATAAAGTTAAACAATAATGATGATTTTAAAAAATACGTTTGTTCTCCATGCCTGTCATGTTGTGCTGAGGTGTGTAGTTCCAATCAGGGCTCATCTGGGGCTATCTACAATTAAAACTTCCGTCATGCTGCAAAACTGTTAAGGCAAAAGGGCTATTTATGCTCTTAAGATGTTGTGTGAAGACGTTTGTTTTAAGAGTGCATCAATCGGTAAGAGAGAGGTAGAAATTAATCACTCAAAATAGAGCTCTCACCTGTGTGCACAGAGTTTAATACCATCTGGAATCAGTGTAAACTTCTGCACTGAGGCAATAGCGCACAAGTGATTTCAATCCATTACTTCACGCATATACAGGCAAAAGAGTTTTCATCCACAAGCTCATTTGACCATGTGGTGTTTGAACATGTAAAGTCTATAACCTGCACTCACTGTGGACCTGATCCAAAGCCCACTAAGTCAAGAGAGAGACTCCCACTGACTTGAAGATGACATTCAATAATGACAAGTGCAAAGTACTACACCTCATTTAGAAGGGAAAATCAAATGCGCAAATACAAAATGGGGAATTACTGACTAGGCAGTAGCACTGTATGACACCGATGTTAGACACAGGAGGTAATCATTAAGCCCTACTTGGCACTAGTGAGGCCAAAGCTGGAGTACTGTCTCCAGTTTTGGGTGCCACTTTAAAAAAGATGTGTATAAACTGGAGAGTGTCCAGAGGAGAGTAATGAAAATGATAAAAGATTTAGAAAACCTGACCTGTGAGGAAAGGTTAAAAAAACTGGGAGTATTTAGTCTTGAGAAAAGGAGATTAAGGGGGGCACTGAAAAATGTCTTCAAATATGTTAATTGATCACTGTCCTCTTTGTAACAGCCCTTGTTTTCCAGGTCCACCGAATGTAGGACAAGCAATAATAGGCTAGTCTGCAGCAAGGGAGATTTAAATTCAATATTAGGAAAAACTTTCTAACTATAAGGATAGTTAAGTATGGAATAGGCGTCAAAGGGAGGTTGTGGAATCCCCATCATTAGAGGTTTTAAAGAATACATTCGATAAACACCTGTCAGTTATGGTCTAGCTATACTTGGTCCTGCCTCAGTGCATGGGGTAGAACTGAGTGACCTCTTGAAGTCCCTTCCAGCTCTGCAGTCCATGATTCTATGATTCTGTGGGCTTTGGATCAGGCCCTAGTTGGTGTACTTTTTCACCGGCACACAGAGATGATAGTGCACATAAACTGTGAGTGCAGGTATACAAAGCTGCACACACACTAGAAGAGGTTGGGTTAAGCCGCATTGAAAAACAGGTCCTAACACTTTGGTGTGGGACTCTCATAATGAACAGCCAAGAACTGAACCACAACATTCTCCATGGATCCCATTCCCATCGTGTCTACAGGAGCTATACACATGCATAGTAGAGACAACTGCCCGCCAAATGTGGGTTCTGTGGCTTAGGAGAACTGTGGAGTGAGTGGAAGTGGATGTTAAAGATGAGCTGGTGCTACTGAGGTTCTGGGACATGATGGAAGTGTACCCCCATTCCCCGCAATTTATTGTGTGCTGTGTGTCCCACGGTAGTGTCTGGTTCACATAAGAGACTAAGTGCCTATTGTTGCTAGCAGCTAATCAAGTTACTTCGTTAGCTCAAATGGTTGGAGCGCACACGTCTAGTGGTTAAAGGTCTCAGGTCCCTGCTGATGACCCATGGTAGCAGTCACGACAGATACCCCAGGCCTTGATGAAAAGGTTATACTATCTCAACAGGAATGGAAATACCCTCTCTGATATCACCTTACTCCCGCTTGGTTCTGCAGTGAAACCATTTTTTTAAATGAACCCACACAATTACTTGCTATGGAAGGAAACGTAATGTCACAGAAAAGTATGGCTTAAAGCACCAGGCACAGGTCAGTGGGAAAAGGAGAAAGTGCAGCTGTGCAAACAGACAGCCCCTTTTAGACAGAAAAAGAAATGAAATTCTCTATCTGTTTAACCACACTTTTTTTTTTAATGTCTGTGATCCTTTGGCCTTTAGATTACACACCATGTGGCCAGATTCTGGTCTAAATGTCCTGCCAGGACAAATCCATAATAACATCATGGATTTCCCTTGGTGTGACTGAGCTCAGAATTTGCCCCTTAGTACAACTACATCACATTCTCTACTCTTTCAAGCCACATGTCCATGTAATGGTCTTGGCAGCAAGTAGATCCATAAAAGAGAAGAACAAGCCAGGCTGTGACTAATATTCCAGAACTTTGCAGTCCAACTTTTCCTGTGTGATAAAACAAAGTGTTTGGCTTTTCCTGAGACTGTTGCAGGGAGAGACACACATCCAAGATAAAAATGCAAACATCAGCAAATTGTCAGAAGCAGTTACAGTGAGAAGTTGTGGACCCACAAAAATAACACGTCTTCAGAAATCATGAGCCAGGACAAACCAGATTGGTTTTGTGTTGCATCCATGCTGCCATGGGAAGTGCTTCAGCTCAGGCAACTGTGGTGTTTGGAGGAGGGCAGGGGTTTGCTGGTAGTTTACTTCTCTCATTGTATGGAAGGAGGCTTGTCTTGATGTTGTTTTAGTTAGTGGCAGTTCTGATTATTTCACAGACAGGTAAATTGGCAGGGTGGCTATTTTAATTAGCATAACTAGACTAATACATAACCCTGCTGTATTGTAGGTGTATCACTCACCATAAGTAAATAACTTATATTGTCGTTTCTTATTTAAAGTCCCCAAGAACACCCACAAGAAGCCTTGGTCACGTAGCCTGTGGGGAGCCACAGCAGGCCACATTTTTACCAAAAACCTCACCTGCTGAAATGTAGGGCAGGGCACTGAGCTGCTATATTGATTACTTTAAGATAATTATCAACCCTTTGGGTCAGGGAGGCTTTAGATTTCTCAGTATTCCCGTAGTGATATGGGATTCACTGGATCCAAGGCTTCTCTGTTTGTGTTAGGGTCTACAGCGGGCAAGGAGAAAATTGGTTCCAAAACCTGAAGACAACTTTTATGGCAGCACTGTAATTGGTTACTCTACCAGTTAGCAGTTGGGGAAAGAAACCTGTAATATGGAGAGGGGGAGGAGGGCAGCCACAAGGCTGCAGAGAAAATCACATTAGTCCAAGTCACTAGATTGCTGCTAGATTAGTGGGCTCCAAACTTTTTGAATCGCGCGCCCCCAGGGCCAGCTCTAGGGAAGCAAAAGAAAAAGAAAAAGAAAAAAAAAAGAAAAAGAAAAAGAAAAAAGGAGAGCTGCCACCGGTGTGCCGCCTGAGATGGAGCGGGGAGGGCCAAAGAATCGAAGGTCCAGGCAGCAGCGCTCCTCCTGCCGCGCACCCCCAGGGGTGGTCTTGCGCACCCCACTTTGGAGACCGCTGTGTTAGACAATAGTGATGGGAGAGTGCCCAGCCACTGAATCTACTTTAACTCTAACAACGATGAAAACCCAACATACATTCTCCAAAGAGCCAACCAATGAAAATCACCATTCAGTCCTATGGGTATTACCCTAGAATAGTGCATTCAGCACGCCATCCATCCTGTGTACTGCAGGAGAAGCAGCACAAGTTTGGAAAATTCATCGTTCTCTGCAGGAGCAGATACAGCAAATAGCTCTCAAGACAAACTTGCTATTGTCGGACAATTGAGGCCCCTGCAGGGAGTGTTGTGGGTTTTTTTTTTCCTAGTTGGCAATACCTGGAACGCAAAAACACACACTTGGATTGAACATTGGTTAGACCTGTCATGGCAGGTGAGAGAAAGGACAGTGATGTTCCCTCAGCTGGTCGCATTACCATTTCTAGTAAGAGAATGGGATTTCCCTTCGGAGATGTGTTCTGTAATTTTCAACAGGCTTCTACGCACCTGAGGTGGATGAAAGTATAACTTGCCAAACATCAGAGTAACTTGTTTATAGGCTTTTGAGAGCAGCCATGTTTTTCTCATGTCTGCCTCATATCAAGAGGATAGAATGCAGAGGGGTGATGAGAAGGTAAATCTGATATTGACACTTCTGTGCAATGGAGCTCCTGGAAACATACACAAAGATCCTAGTGCTCTTCAACCATCTTTTGGCTCTTGGTGAACACACACACAAAACAGTTCATCCAGTTATAAATGCCAATGAGTGAAAGTTCTAACACTAGGACAGTTGTTGTGTCAGTTCTATCATTATTGTATCCCTTCCTTCTACTCCTGCTACCTAGCTGTGAAACAGATTAAGAAAGGGCTGCCTGCTTCTTTCTGCTAAATCTGAGCATGCCTTCTTATATCTGAAATCTGCTTGGGCAGCAGCAGCTGTCCAATCCCAAATAGTTGATGCAAGCTGGTCCTGGAAGAGGAAGAGATGCCGAGAAAAGGATCTGAGCAGCTTGATCTTTCTTTCTTTCTTTCTTTCTTTCTTTCTTTCTTTCTTTCTTTCTTTCTTTCTTTCTTTCTTTCAGAACGAAACACCTCCTCTCTATTTTCTTTCTCTGTGGTTTTTAGTGGTTCTGTTATTTCTCTGAGTGCCCCACAGGGCTGTCCAGGGCTGTTGTGTGTTTCATATATAGTAACTCCTCACTTAACGTTGTAGTTATGTTCCTGAAAAATGCAAATTTAAGCAAAATGATGTTAAGTGAATCCAATTTCCTCATAAGAATTAATGTAAATGGGGGGGTTAGGTTCCAGGGAAATTTTTTTCATCAGACAAAAGACATATATATATATATATATAACACACACACACAGAGTATAAGTTTTAAAAAACAATTTAATATTGGTACACAGTGATGATGATTGTGAGGCTTGGTTGAGGTGGTGGAGTCAGAGGGTGGGATATTTCCCAGGGAATGCCTTACCGCTAAATGATGAACTAGCAATTGGCTGAGCCCTCAAGCATTAACTCGTCGTTAATGTAGCCTCACACTCTACAAGACAGCACGAATGGAGGGAGGGGAGACAGCATGGCAGACAGAGACACATACCATGTGTGTGTGAGAGAGATGCGCATTTCCCCTTTAAGTACGCTGATCTCACTCTTAGATACACTGCCTCATTAAGTAGATCAGCAAGCTGAGACCGCAGCTGCTGCCAGGAAGCTCCCTCCCTCCTGAGCCCTGTCGTGTGTCCCCCCTGCTCTATGGAAGATGGGGTAAGCAGGGTGCACGAGCAGGGGGGAGGGGAACACCCTGACATTAGGCCCCCTCTTCCTCCCCTACCCCCCACATAGCAAGCAGGAAGCTCGGGAAGCAGCTCCAAGGCAGAGGGCAGGAGCAGCACAGGGCAGTGGGGGGAGGGACAGCTGAACTGCCAGCAATTGATAGCCTGGGAACTTAGGGGAGCGCGGAGCTGATAGGGCAGCTGCCGGTCCACCCTGGTTCCAAGCCCCCGCCAGCCAGCTGCAACGGGCTGCTCTTCCTGCAAGCAGTGGACAAAGCAGGTGGCTGCCAAATTATGTTATAAGGGAGCACTGCACAACTTTAAACGAGCACATTCCCTAATTGATCAGCAACGTAACAACGAAACCACATTAACCAAGATGACTTTAAGTGAGGAGTTACTGTATCTGCTTTGACCCAGCTGACAATGTATGCAGACAGCAAAGCTTGAACCTGGATGGAAGTGACTAATTGCATATATGAATGAGTTCCTGTGTCTGATTTCTTTGTATTATGCCATAGTAGAGAATCATAGAATCATAGAATATCAGGGTTGGAAGGGACCTCAGGAGGTCCAACCCCCTGCTCAAAGCAGGACCAATCCCCAACTAAATCACCCCAGCGAGGGCTTTGTCAAGCCTGACCATAAAAACCTGTAAGGAAGGAGATTCCACCACCTCCCTAGGTAATGCATTCCAGTGCTTCACCACCCTCCTAGTGAAAAAGTTTTTCCTAGTAGCCAACCTAAACCTCCCCCTCTGCAACTTGAGATCATTACTCCTCGTTCTGTCATCTGCTACCACTGAGAACAGTCTAGATCCATCCTCTTTGGAACCCCCTTTCAGGTAGTTGAAAGCAGCTATCAAATCCCCCCTCATTCTTCTCTTCTGTAGACTAAATAATCCCAGTTCCCTCAGCCTCTCCTCATAAGTCATGTGCTCCAGCCCCCTAATCATTTTTGTTGCCTTTCACTAGACTCTTTCCAATTTTTTCACATCCTTCTTGTAGTGTGGGGCCCAAAACTGGACACAGTACTCCAGATGAGGCCTCACCAATGCCAAATAGAGGGGAATGATCACGTCCCTCAATCTGCTGGCAATGCTCCTACATATACATCCAAAATGCAGTTGGCCTTCTTGGCAACAAGGGCACACTGGTGACTCATATCCAGCTTCTCGTCCACTGTAACCCCTAGGTCCTTTTCTGTAGAACTGCTGCCTAGCCACTTGGTCCCTATTGTGTAGCAGTGCATGGGATTCTTCCGTCCTAAGTACAGGACTCTGCACTTGTCCTTGTTGAACCTCATCAGATTTCTTTTGGCCCAATCCTCTAATTTGTCTAGGGCCCTCTGTATCCTCTCCCTACCCTCCAGCGTATCTACCACTCATCCCAGTTTAGTGTCATCTGCAAACATGCAATCCTCCAGATCGTTAATGAAGATATTGAACAAAACCGGCCCCAGGACCGACCCTTGAGGCACTCCACTTGATACCAGCTGCCAACTAGACATGGAGCCATTGATCACTACCTGTTGAGCCCGATGATCTAGCCAGCTTTCTATCCACCTTATAGTCTATTCATCCATCCCATACTTCTTTAACTTGCTGGCAAGAATACTGTGGGAGACCGTATCAAAAGCTTTGCTATGTTGCCTTATGACACAAAAGGCATAATGTTACATATGGACACATAGGCATAATGTTGCTTTATGACACATTTCCAGAGCTTCTTGACCAGGCTTGTTAGCGTTAACCCACTCCCATGAGATTACATCTCCCAAGTCAGCAAGTGAGTACATCCAAAGCTAAAGGCAATGAGGTGTCAGTGCTGGGCGTTGGTAAAACGCCTCTAATTTCCACCCATTATTTCTGGTGCTGAGAAAGCTTCACAGGGGATAATTGATTTGGGGAAAGGGCTCTTTTTGCTTGATTTGTGTCCATCAGACATTTTCAGGCAGCCTAAGGAGGGAACTACCGACACAGGAGAGAAAGAGACAAATAAATTAAACAAATTTATTTTCGGTTTAAAAATAAAAGTCTAAGTTATATGTCTGGTGAACTACAAGGTGATAGAAACACAACTTTGCCAAGTGCATGCTTGGCATACCAGCAGAAAGAGAAGCTTGAATACTCTTCAGTTATTCATTTATTTAAGAAGTTAGGCCAAGCAATTCCTTATTAAAATCTCTGTTCTTCCCCAAGGCCCTCATGAAGTGTTAATAATAATATGAGTAATGACTTAAAAAAGAATTACTGACATTCCTTCATGTGGAGTCTCATTGTGTCTTGCCTGCTCTATAGGTCTGACTCTCCCTTCACTTACATCACTGTAAGTCTGGAGTAGGACCATTGAACTTCATGGAGTAACACTGGTGTAAAACCTGTGTGAGAGAACGATTTATAGATTCAAAGTATTTAAGGCCAGAAGAAACCATTATAATCAGGTAGTCTGCCTCCTGCATAATGCAGGCCATAGAATTTCACCAACTGATGTCTGTATCTAGTCCACAACTTCTGGTTGTATTCTCCAGAACATATCTTTTTAGAAAGACATCCAATCTTGATTAAAGACTCCAGGTGACAGAGAATCTATCACACTCTAGGTAAATTGTTCTAATGATTAATTACCTTCACTTAAAAAATGTTCACCTTATTTCTAATCTGAATTTGTCTAGCTTCAGCTTCCAGCCATCGGATCTTGTGTTATACCTTTGTCAGCTAGATTAAAGAGCCCTCTACTATCAGAAATCTTTTCACCATACAGGTAATTACAGACTGTGATCAAGTTACCTCTTAGCCTTCTCTTGGATAAACTAAAATGATTGAGCTTCTTTAGTCTCTCCTTGTAAAGCAGGCTATCTAGACCTGGAATCATTCTTGTAGCTCTTTCCTGAACCCTTTCCAATTTGTCAACAGCCTTTTTTAAAATGAACTTGCACTGTATTCCAGTAATTATCTCCCACCATGTTTCTGTTATCCCTATAATATCTGGTTTCACTTCCTGCACCCATAGCTCTAGTTCCTCCATTTTGTTACCTAGGCTCCTCGCATTGGTGTACAAACATCTTAATTTTTGCTATTTGGCCTCACTCACTTTCTTCACCTGATTGGGCACGGACATTCTACCGCCAGTATGACCTATTAGACTGGTATCCACTACTGCCCTTCCTCCTTATGTCCATTCTCCTAGCCACAGCTGTATCCTTTCTTACTTCATTTTCTTCCCTCTCAATGTTAAAATCTGGCATGGAGATTACCTGGACGTCTCCCACCCATCTCCCCCAAATTCCTAGTTTAAAGCTCTCTTAATCAGTTGTGCCAGTCCCCATCCTAGAAGTCTATTTCCCTCCCTACTCAGATGGAGTCCATCCCGAGAGAACAGTCCTCTGTCCATGAATGCCTCCCAGTGGCCATATATCCCAAAGCCCTCCTTATAGCACCACTGCCTGAGCTATCTATTGAGCATCATCATCTTGTCACACCTTTGTTGCCCTTCTCTAGGAACAGGTAGAATCCCACTGAAGACCACCTGAGTCTCGATTTCCTGAAGCGTCTTCCCCAGCCTGGCATAGTTTCTCTTGATACGTTCCAGCGAGAATCTATCGGTATCATTTGTTCCCACATGAAGGATGATCAGTGGATTCTTTCCCGCTCCCTTTAGGATCCTCTTTAACCTCAGGTCCACATCCCATATCTTAGCACTCGGTCGACAGCACACCCTTCTGTTCTCTGGATCAGCTCTGGTTACAGGCCTGTCTATTCTTCTCAGTAATCTTGTCCTAATCTTTTACCACTCCACCAATTTTTGTCATCTGCAAACTTTACCAGCAATGATTTTTTCCAGATAATTGATAAAGATATTGAATAGCGCTGTGCCATGAAGAGAAACAAGCCCTGTGTCTGTCTTGTTTGGATTATAAACTCTTTGGGATAAGAACACTGTATTTTGTTTCCAATACACTGTCTGTGTTTAACAAATAAGATGTAACTCTTCATACACATCAGATATTTGCTTTTGTGCCGATATTATATTCTGCTGTGTTGTTTGGAAAAAACACCCCTGGTAATCTGCATCCTGTTTTGAAGAGATTGTCAAACACGCGTGGGACTTTGGAACTAAAGTGTGGAGTAACCACCACGTGAGTTATTTTCACATGAGACTCTAGCAGTGAGGGCATTATGATGCTTTTTTAAAATTTTGGCACAGTATTTCACAGGAATTATGACCATAACATGAAATGTATTTACTCTCTGAACCCTTGATTTCTTCCAATTAAAACAAAACCCATCCAAACATTTTGAAGCAAAAGCCTAGCTCCTTCCTGTAGAGATTATTTAGTAAGGACAGAAATGCTCACTGTTTTTAATGAGACCACTTGGACTTTGTCATTTACTGTTGCTTCTTCAAAGTAAATAGCCTGCAAATATTCTGTTGCTAACCCAATACTGGTGGTTAAAGCATTCATTGCATCTAACTGGCTTCCTCTCCCCCCCAATATTTGTTTTTCAGCTAACTCTGGCTCCGAAATTCCTACCAAATACCTTGATCAGTGCAGATTTTGCAGCCAATTACATCACAAAGATTTATGGGCTCACGTTCGGACAGAAGCCAAACCTGAGGTAAGGGATCAAGAAGTGAAAGGAGGAGTATGTTCTGTCACTGCTTAGCGCAAATGGGTTGGTGGGAAGAACTGATTGTTTAGATTGTTTACCGAAACCATTTTTGGCCTGCAGATAACTTTTGGAGGAGGAGGATTGTTTATGTTACTGAGGGGACCAAAACCACTCTCAGATGAATGCATTCTAGTGGCTTTTGCTGGACATCACACAAATATACACACAACATTTTTAATAATCTTCTAAATCTTTTTTGTGTTTATCTGTTATGAGTGGCAAGGACCAGCACTGATTAATCAATTCAGTGACTAATTGGTCAAATATCCCCAACTCCACCTTAGCTCCTTCACAGAAAGGCTGTGATCAAGCTGAGACTGTAAAGCTGTTGCTAATGATGCAATAGTATTGGTTCAACGTACTTCCCAACCCCCATCAGTACTTCAACCTTGTATGGCTGATTCTCTAGGCACCACCGTGACTCTTTAGTGATGATTTTCTCGGTTGGACCCCAGTGCAGTGCCACAGACCACCCTCATTTCAGTTGTGGGTACACATGCCTGCGGTGAAACGTGGTCTGCTCCACAGAAGTTTTACCTAGTCCAGTGTAATCTATTGATACAGCCTCCATTACTGCAGTGACCATTGCAAGAGCAGCCCAAGCTCCGCTGCTGGTTACAACGTGTACATTTGAATTGTAAGTGGCTAGCGCTGGCTGGCACCGTTAGCACAGGGTCTAATCCTGCAATTATGCGGAGAGCCCTCAATTTCCATTGACTTCAGGGGGAGTTGAGTTGGCTCAGTACCTTCTAGGCTCTTAGTCTGGTAAGCCGTTAGTTACCTGAAGAGGTTGGGTCAGTTGCTCACCGTGCGTGATATTTCATCATGACTGCACCTCAGCTTATGCATGTGTCTTCCTTCCAAAACCTGAATTACAGAAGCTACTGAGTTCTTGCATCACATTAAGTAGCTGGACTCTTTCTGAAGTGAGTTTCACAAGCTCTCCCATAGCAACCATTGTTTAATGCAGAATAGCAGCTTGTTGTTTCCTGAGCTGGACTGATACAAGATCCTAAGTTGGAGGTTCAACTGTTGTACTTTTCCCCTCCAGTAAAGTATGTACTTTCAGGCTCTGCTGACTTGGAACGAGAGGTTTTCAGAAAGTCAGATATCTGTCAGTTAAAAGCATAGCTGACCACACAGAGTGAATAATATCCTGTCCTGTGGTTCTCTGCTCGTGGAGCTGTTGTGTTTCTATGTTGAGTCCAAAAAATCCCCCCAAATCATCACCACAATCACAACAAAATCCTAGGACAAGTTAGAGAATGCAGGCTTTTCAATCCCTGCTTTGGAAGTGGTTCCCTATCATACTGTTAATCTGCCTCCAGGATTTTAGCCACACAGTGCCTCCTGCAGCATATGCAGAAGCAAAGGGACTATAGAAGTGGGAGTAGTCACCCATTGTTTATGACCGTGGGTTTTTGTAAAAACAACCAGAGGATGGTTTGGACCCAATTCTCCTCCGACTTGCACAAGTGTACATTGGGAGTGGCTCCATTGACATCACTGTCATTGCACGGTTATAAAAATTGTGGAAGAAAGGAAGTTAAGGCTCTGTTTCCTTTTCCTCTCGCTCTGAGATAGAACTGTTTCCTCTTATCTGATAAGACTTCCTGGGAGGAATTTACCTAGGGATGGGGCTAACTGGTGCATAAGGGAAATAAAATGTTTTTTCCTCCAAACCTTCACCTTAAGTGTAAAAGTCTTTCTTACAGACTGGTTAAGTCTATTCTTTCATCTGCACAGTGGTCTCTGCACTCCTGAGTTCTGAGAGCAGAAATTCTGAAATAGCAACGTAGAAGCTATTCTTGTATTATTTCCGGCCTTCATGGAAGCAGAAATAATGGAAATCTCCTGAGATAACCAATCCTCAAGAGATTTATAGCCCAACTTTGCAAACTCAAGGACAGGATGTGCTTTAGACCAGGTTTCAGAGTAACAGCCGTGTTAGTCTGTATTCACAAAAAGAAAAGGAGTACTTGTGACACCTTAGAGACTAAAGTGAGCTGTAGCTCATGAAAGCTTATGCTCAAATAAATTGGTTAGTCTCTAAGGTGCCACAAGTCCTCCTTTTCTTTAGACCAGGGGTTCTCAACCTTTTTCTTTCTGAGGCTCCCCCTCCAACATGTTATAAAAACTCTACCCCCAACTGTGCCACAACAGCTGTTTTTCTGCATATAAAAGACAGTGCCTGAGTTACAGGGGGCACTGTGAAGCTACGTTGCTCAGGCTTTGACTTCAGCCCCAGGTGGCGGGGCTTGGCGCCCTGAGCTGCAGCCCTGTGCGGCAAGGCTTTGGCTTTCTGTCCTGGGCCCTAGTGAGTCTAACACTGGCTATGCTTGGCGGACCCCCGAAACCTGCTCATGGCCCACCAGGGGGCCCTGGACCCCTGGTTGAAAACCACTGCTTTAGACTAGAACCCAAACTTTGGGTACGTGTCTGTACCAAGTCCAAACTCTAAACTTTCTGAGGTTGCCTATCGCTCCAATAGATTCCCTTTGCCTTGTGGCCAAACACTGAGCTGGGCTCAAGCTGCTAAATTCAGATCCAGATTTCAAACATACCTAAGTCTTGCTATGTACAGATCCCAGGCTTTGTCTCAGCCTGTTAAAGATGGGGCGATTCATAAAATACAGATCGAGATCCAGGTTTGGATTTTGAACACTCCACCACTCAGAGACTGCTTGGGGCCAGTGTTATGGTTTGGGCACATCTGTTTTTATACTTGGCAGAATAAGTGATACATTAAAAAAATGAACATATGTACCTTAAGAAAAGGAAGACGATAGACTGAGGTGTAGATTTCAGAAGGCTGCATTGGGTAAGAGAGGAAAGCAAACCATACTGCCTAATTCAGTCTCTTTCTTTCTTTCTGGTAGATCTGTGTATCTTCACAACAATAAACTTTCAGATGCTGGGTTACCTGATGATATGTTCAATGGCTCTAATAACGTGGAGATATTGATCATGTCCAGCAATTTCCTGAAGTATGTTCCAAAGAACCTGCCTTCAGCACTATATAAACTACACTTAAAGGTAATGGAACCAACTTTGTGTATTCTCTTACATCTGGGATGCAGTTCTGTGTGTGCCTGAGATTTAAACTGCAGAGGCAGGCCCATTGTTAGATAGCGACTGCTAGGTTTGGGCTGAATGAAAAGCACGCCAGCGAGTAGCCAATCTCCCCTGTACATACATGTGTACTGGCATGAGTAGTGAGAGCAACGAGCTGTTTGTCTAGATCAAAATTCCGTTTTTTCTATTTCCAAAGGAATGTATTGCTGGTGGCTGGCTGGCAGCCTTGCATGTCTCAGTCCTAAGTGTAGCCAAACATCAGGCAGTCCTTGGACAAAGAGAGTGCACATTTTGTCATGTTGTCCTCACGTGGTGTTGGAATCACACAGAGGGCAGATAAGGGATGAGATGAGAGGGCAGATAAGTTTCTAAGGCCATTTGGTCTTTGTCCTCTTTGCTGAGCCTGCAATTTATGGTGGTGTTTTTCCTGATATAGTTGCTTATTCACTAGGAAGGTACTGTCTTTGCTCACCAGACTATTTCACATAGGCTGTATCACCTTCAAGTAGCAATGACTTTTGGTATCTACTGAACTGGCAACTGGAATATTTGGACCAGTAATTTTCCATGGCTGCAGCTAACCCTGGCAGAGGCATTGGTGGAAGTTGTAGTTTAGCTGGGCTCTGGTATTATCTCTGTGTCATCTAATCTTGAACTACAGACCAGTCAGCCTCCCTTCCAGGGCCGTCCCTAGCTATTCTGGGGACCTACGCAGCTCCCCGGGGGAAGGGGGGGAACGTGTGGGGCCCCAGGCCTCTGAGGGGGGCGCGGGGGCTGGCTTGAGGGGCGGGGGGAACCACCCCCGGTGAGTGTAGGCCTGGCCCTGCTGCAGTCCTCAGGGGAGTGGGGGCAGGAAGGGTGGAGCAGGGCGGGGGCTTTGGGGGAGGAGTGGAATGGAGGGGCTGGGGCAGAGCAGGGGTGAGAAGAGGCAGGGCTGGGGTGGAGCAGGGGTGGGGGCCATGGAGAAGAGGCGGGGCAGGGGCTGGAGCAGCACACAGCTGCGCAGGGCACCAGGAAATTTGGATAAGTGGTGCCCTACGCAGCTGCATACTTTGTGTATGGGAAGGGACGGCCCTGTTCACTTCAGTCCCCGGCAAAATCATGGGGCAGGTCCTCAAGGAATCCCTTTTGAAGCACTTGGAGGAGAGGAAGGTGATCAGGAACAGTCAAGACGGATTCATCAAGGGCAAGTCATGCCTGACCAACCTGATTGGTTCTATGATGAGATAATTGGATCTATGGATATGGAGAAAGTGGTGGATGTTAGTAGACCTTTTGATATGGTCTCCTACAGCATTCTTGCCAGCAAGCTAAAAAAGTATGGATTGGATTAATGGACTATAAGGTGGACAGAAAGCTGCCTAGATTGTTGGGCTCAATGGGTAGTGATCAACGGCTTGATGTCTAGTTGGCAGCAAGTATCAAGTGGAGTGCCCTAGGGGTCGGTCCTGGGGCCGGTTTTATTCAACATCTTTATTAATGATCTGGATGATAGGATTAATTGCACTCTCAGCAAGTTCGCAGATGACAGTAAGCTGGGGGGAGAGGTAGATATGATGGAGGGTAGGGATAGTGTCCAGAGTGACCTAGACCAGTGGTTCTCAAATTAGGACCTTCGCTTGTTCAGGGAAAGCCCCTGGTGGGCCAGGCCAGTTTGTTTACCTGCCGCGTCCGCAGGTTTGGCCGATTGTGGTTCCCACTGGTCGCGGTTCACCACTCCAGGCCAATGGGGGCTGCGGAAAGTGGCACGGGCTGAAGGATATGCTGGCCACCCTTCCTGCAGCCTCCATTGGCCTGGAGTGGCAAACCTCCATTGGGGGGAGGGATAGCTCAGTGGTTTGAGCATTGGCCTGCTAAACCCAGGGTTCTGAGTTCAATCCTTGAGGGGGCCATTTAGGGATTTGGGGCAAAAATTGGGGATTGGCCCTGCTTTGAGCAGGGGGTTGGACCAGATGACCTCCTGAGGTCCCTTCCAACCCTGATATTCTATGATTCTAGGACGTGGGGATTACAGTGTACAAGAAGCTGGATATGAGTCAGCAGTGTGTCCTTGGTTGCCAAGAAGGCCAATGGCATATTGGGCTGTATTAGTAGGAGCATTGCTAGCAGATCGAGGGAAGTGATTATTCCCCTCTATTTGGCACTGGTGAGGCCACACCTGGAGTATTGCATCCAGTTTTGGTCCCCCCACTACAGAAGGGATGTGAACAAATTGGAGAGATTCCAGCAGAGGGCAACAAAAATGATTAGGGGCTGGGGCACATGACTTATGAGGAGAGGCTGAGGGAACTGGGGTTATATAGTCTGCAGAAGAGATGAGTGAGGGGGGATTTGATAGCAGCCTTCAATTACCTGAAGGGGGGTTCCAAAGAGTATGGAGCTAGGCTGTTCTCAGTGGTGGCAGATGACAGAACAAGAAGCAATGGTCTCAAGTTGCAGTGGGGGAGGTTTAGGTTGGATATTTGGGAACACTATTTCACTAGGAGGGTGGTGAAGCACTGGAATGAGTTACCTAGGGAGGTGGTGGAATCTCCATCCTTAGAGGTTTTTATGGCCCAGCTTGACAAAGCCTTGGCTGGGATGATTTAGTTGGTGTTGGTCCTGCTTTGAGCAGGGGGTTGGACTAGATGACCTCCTGAGGTCCCTTCCAACCCTGATATTCTGTGATTAAAATCGCGTGTCGTCCATTTGCACTAGCGCTCTTACCATAGCTAACATGGAGGAGCTGTGATGGTGGAGAATTTTGGGTCCAGCTGTGCTTAGTTGTGACAATCCCTGGGAGATGAAAAGGGCTCTTAACTTATTATCATCTCACTAAGCTATGAAATCCTTTGTTGCCTGCCCTGCTTTCCTTTTCTTTGAAGGTTTCACCATTGACTCTCATGCAATTACTTTTTAGAAACTAGGATCTCCAGTTTGGAGAAAGGTAAAAACAAAAGGCTTGATCTTGTGAATTGCTGGACTCCTCCTGCAAGATGCTGAGTGCTCTCTACTCCCATTGACTTTAATGGGACGTGCGGGTACTCAGCCTCGTGCACAATCAAGACCCAAAGTTTGCCCAGTGCTGGACTTGAACTGTCTTTCCTCAAGTCAGCGGTGAGAGTGGCAGTCTTGAGCCCTGTGCGGGAAAAGAGGAGGACCGAAGAGGGAAATATGCGCTTTGTTTCGAAAAAGCATCGTCTGCTGGTAGCTACACATTTACCTGTTGTTTTGACCAGCCCAGGGGAGAGCAACAATAAATGAGGAACAGCCGCTGGGAGTTGAAAGGGGAGAGACAGGGTTAGTTTTGATGTGACACAGTCATGTTGTCTCTTTCCTCTCTCTGATCACTTTGACGCTGGTGTAGCCCCATTGATTGAGATGTTCTATGAGATATGAAGCTCTCCCAGCGTCCAGTGCATTCTTCATATACTTGAATTGTTTTGTGTCTGCCAAATTCAACATTAGTGCCTTATATATTCTAAAAGTGTGGGGGCCCACTTCTAATTCCTGCCTGTAAATGGAATGCACCAACAAATGCAACGTTTTTAGTGTTGGCTCAGGGCAACAGCAAAGCTTTATCTTTTGCTGCCTGTTGGCCACTCAGAAGCCACATTAAGGGGAGAAGGTAGCTTTCTGGAATCTAACTCTTAGGAACTGTGCTTTTTGGTAGATAAGGAATATTGTTAGGATTGTGGAATTAGTTGGTTCACTTTATAGTGGAATCTGGTTTGCTGAGTCTAGATTCTTTGACCAGGATTGTTTGATAGGTGAATAGATTGCTTGGGTGAGGAAATTGGAACCTGTACGGTAAGTAGGGCCTTGTTAATGGGCCAAATCCTGCAATTCTCTTACTCTGTCCTCAGTCAGAACTCTTGGGGAGAGAGTGAGTGAGAAAGGACTGCAGGATCTGGCCTACTGTTTGGATATATTTCTCTCTCAGGCTAATAACATCCCCATGTAATATACTATATGCTAGTCCTTCTGATTTTTCATTGCTTCTTATGCCCATGGACATGAGGCCTATGATGCTAGCTGCTCAGAGTTGTGCCTGACTATTCTCAAGACTCAGATATTCTCAGCCTAATAATGTGCTTTCTGTGTCTATAGAACAACAAACTAGAGAAGATTCCCAAAGGAGCCTTCAATGAACTTGCGGGCCTTCGAGAGCTGTATTTGCAGAACAACTACTTGACTAATGAAGGGATGGACAATGAAACCTTCTGGTGAGACTCTGCTCTTTAAATTTGGCTGTTTTTTCTTTACATGTACAAGAAGGTACAAAGAAAAGGAGTACTTGTGGCACCTTAGAGACTAACCAATTTATTTGAGCATAAGCTTTCATGAGCTACAGCTCACTTCATCGGATGCATACTGTGGAAACTGCAGAAGTCATTATATACACAGAGACCATGAAACAATACCTCCTCCCACCCCACTCTCCTGCTGGTAATAGCTTATCTAAAGTGATCACTCTCCTTACAATGTGTATGATAATCAAGTTGGGCCATTTCCAGCACAAATCCAGGTTTTCTCACCCTCTGCCCCCCCCCCCCCACTCACTCATTTCCCCACCTTGATTTTCATACACATTGTAAGGAGAGTGGTCACTTTGGATAAGTTATTACCAGCAGGAGAGTGAGTTTGTGTGTGTGGTTTTTGGAAGGGGGAGGTGAGAAAACCTGGATTTGTGCTGGAAATGGCCCATCTTGATTATCATACACATTGTAAACTGCTGAATTGGAATTCATTTGCAAATTGGATACTATTAATTTAGGCTTAAATAGAGACTGGGAGTGGCTAAGTCATTATGCAAGGTAGCCTGTTTCCTCTTGTTTTTTCCTACCCCCCCCCCCCCAGATGTTCTGGTTTAACTTGGATTTAAACTTGGAGAGTGGTCAGTTTACATGAGCTATTACCAGCAGGAGAGTGAGTTTGTGTGTGTATGGGGGTGGGGGGGATGTGAGAAAACCTGGATCTATGCAGGAAATAGCCCGACTTGATTATGTAAAGAGTTGTCACTTTGGATGGGCTAGCACCAGCAGGAGAGTGAATTTGTGTGGGGGGGGGGGGGGGGGGGGGTGGGGAGAGAAAACCTGGATTTGTGCTGGAAATGGCCCACCTGTTGATCACTTTAGATAAGCTATTACCAGCAGGACAGTGGGGTGGGAGGAGGTATTGTTTCATATTCTTTATAATTTATTTCAAGCCCACCTGCTCAAATAAATTGGTTATCACTTTAGATAAGTGTTCCAACCGTATGCAGGAGAGTGGGGGGGGGGGGGGGGGGGGTTTGTGGGGCCAACTTGAACCAATTGTAAGGAGAAGAACTTTAAATTTTCCCGCGGGGGGGGGGGGGGGGGGGAGGTATTGTTTCATGGTCTCTGTGTATATAATAATGTCTTCTGCAGTTTCCACAGTATGCATCCGATGAAGTGAGCTGTAGCTCACGAAAGCTTATGCTCAAATAAATTGGTTAGTCTGTAAGGTGCCACAAGTACTCCTTTTCTTTTTGCGAATACAGACTAACACGGCTGTTACTCTGAAAGAAGGTACAAGATTTCTATTATAAAATGTGCCATTTTATTTACTGGGTCTATATGAGAAGGCCTAGATTCAGGTGCAGTCACCCAAATTCAAACATATTGGTCAATGGTTTGAACTGGTATCATACAGTGTCTTTAAACAAAGGACGCCAATGATCCTAGCCCCCTGGTAGCTACAGGCCCAATCATGCAAAGTACCAGGTGCTTACTGGGAGAGGCCTAGAGTCCTGCTGAAGTCAATAAAAGTTTAGGGCTCCTATTCCTGTTGAAACCAACAGGGAGTGAGATCACTCAGCACTTCTCATGATCAGATCCAAGTGCAGTTTTCTGGACATTAAGGCTAGATCTTCAGCTCTGCTGATTCTCTTTTGTGCTGCTCTCACAGTGCAAAACAGACTTGAAAGCTGCCCTAATTGTGCAGTTAAGGATCACCCTGGCATGGGGCTACTCCAGTGTAGGAGGAAAGCTGGAGAATGCTGTACTTTGATACTTCCCCAAAGCAAAATGGCCCCTAAGGGTTTTTTACAAGCTGGTGCAATTTAAAATAGCCCTTTGGCTTCTCCACAGTGTGCCATGGGTAAACTGAGGCTCTTGGGATCAGAGTGTCAGGAAACTACCTTTACCTTCCCAGCTGTGTGGAGTACTTGACTGGCTGTACCTGAGGATCTGACTCACAGTACATGTCCTGCCCATAACTTGCTATGTACTCTATAAACCTGTCAGATTATGAAGAAAGGAAAATGCAACAACCCCTTTATTCTTCCCATTACCATTTAGCATCCTCACAATTGCATAGTAATTTATATGTGGTTTTGCTATTTTTATCTCCAGAATAATGTTTTGTGTAACATTTCTGATAAGGGTTGGATGAGCATAGCTCAATCCCTCCGGCTAAGCCACAGATCACCTTTTGCAGTGGGGAAGGGGTTTGATCTTTTGCACTCAGTGGTCAATGAAGGTTGCACAACATAAAGCCATATTTCCTGAAGACTTTTTGGCAATGTAAAATGGGATATGCATTGCCATACAGATTATATCAATTGAGTATACTGTTTGACTTGAGAAACTATCCAGTTCCAGAAATGTCTGCCTTGAAACACAGAGCTGGGAAATAATACCACTTACCTGCATCCAGTTGGTTTAAGAGACTGGACTGAAGATTTGCTTTAGCTACAACTGAGTCCTTGGAATCTAGTTTGAATAGTTTACACAAAGCAGATCTGGCCTTGAATCACTTCCATAATACTAGGAGGTCACAAGAAGTTCATAATCTTGGCATAGACCTCTGAGTTTATGTTTCCCCCTTTGGTGAGAACAATTCAGCATCATCTCAAAGGCAAAACTTGTTTTTTTAGTGTGAAAAATACCTTTTTATTTGAAATGAGAGACAGGAGTTAGAGTTGATTGTGATGTAGTCATTTTAAACTGACAGCAGAACTTTTAAATTTTAATGGTCTTTCCACTGCATCTCTGCCTGTCTTTCTGGTGGCATGCAATAACTCTTATCATTCGGCTGTAGTATTTTGCATGTGGTGTTAATAGAGAGAAATACCATGCTGAAAGGCAGATCTCAGCTCCCTGGCAGATGCTTATGGAATCTAGCCAGCTCTCCTGCAAGTGTAGCTGGTGCTTGATTGCACTGGATATCCCCTAGTGGCCAGTGAAGGAACTACACGTTCTGCTGTCCCCACTATGCATCCATGAAGTGAGCTGTAACTCACGAAAGCTCATGCTCAAATAAATTTGTTAGTCTCTAAGGTACCACAAGTACTCCTTTTCTTTTTGCGAATAGAGACTAATATGGCTGCTACTCTGAAACCTGTCCCCACCAGAGATACATCAAGGACAGAAAGGGAAGTAGCAAGGTGGCCATGATGGGGGGGAGAAAGTCTTTTAAAAAGGGGGTAAATCCCCCAGGGAAACATATTATTGTTTCACTTGGGAGTATATAAATGGAGAATTTTTTCTTTCTGCTTTTCCAAGGAAACTATCCAGCCTTGAATATCTGGATTTGTCCAGCAATAATCTTTCACAAATCCCGAGTGGCTTACCTCGAAACATCGTCCTCCTTCACCTGGAGAAGAATGCAATTAAGACGATTGGCAGAGATGTCTTGATCCAAATTAGAAACCTTGAGTACCTTCTACTTCACAACAACAAGTTAAAAGCCCGAGGGATCCACCCGCAAGCCTTCCAGGGCCTGAAGAAGCTGCACACTGTCCACTTGTACAACAATATGCTGGAAAGGATTCCCAGTGGGCTACCTCGGCGAGTGAAGACACTTATGATCCTTCATAACCAGATCTCTGAGATTAACAGGAATGACTTTGCTACCACTTACTTACTGGAGGAGCTAAACTTGAGCTACAATAAGATCACAAGTCCTCATATCCATCGGGAGGCCTTCCGCAAGCTGAGACTGCTAAAGTCCTTGGATCTTTCTGGGAACAACCTCCACACGCTGCCTTTTGGCTTTCCAAAGAACTTGCAGATTCTGAAACTGAAGGAGAACGACATAAGCACCATTCCAAGAAGAGCCCTGGCAGGAATGACAAAGCTGCAGGAGCTATACCTGAGCAACAATAAACTGAAAGTCAATTCCATTTACAGGGGAGCATGGAGGGAACTCAGCAGTCTCCAGGTACAAACACCACCTTCTCTATGATATTGATAATATGGATGTCTCTTCCCTATTTGCTTGATCCAATTCAGGGAGCATTAATGGTAGATTCAGATTGGTCCTTATTTTCTAGGCCTGCACATTAAGTGCAAGACAGTGTAGAAAGAGGCCATTATCTGATTTTAAAAGACTTGTGGCAGAGTTGTCCTCCTAAATAGAAAGACAGCCGCCATTGTACTGTTATCAGAGGAAACATAAGAATTTCTTTGGTCCTGGATTCTGAAGCTGTGTTATATTTTCAACTGGATATTAATGAGTCATGCAGCTAAAACTCCAGATGCCGCCATACAAATTCCGCTCCCCACCCCCAAGGGTTTTAAATCAGCTTTATTGTGTAGAGTTCTGAAGGGAGGGACACTGGGAGGCAAGGAGTACATAAACAAAACAAGCTTTTAATGCACAAAACATCCATAGCAGCTTACAGTCAGACAAGCCAAGCTGTAGGATTTAGCAGCTCAGCTGGGTAAGGCACCTGGATAGTAGTTAGGAGGCCTGGATTCAATCAACTGCCTGTCCTTTGGTTACTTGTCAGGGAAAGTTGAACAGAAACATAAGGCAGGCAGGAACAATCACATTTGTGCTATGCAAAATGATCTTGCAGTTGTGTCAGTAGCTGAAGGATTTGTCTGCATTTCCTTTTAGGCAAGAGCCGATTCCCTGCACTAAAAGGTATTGCCCTTGTTATGGCAACCATCCACTGTACCTACATTAGTGCACTGTAAGGAGGGAGCTTTTGTATCTGAAAGCACCGCAGGGATAAGAGATGCAGAGCATATGTGATTCTGGTTATCAGCATTAGGGCTTCCGACATGCCAAGAATTTTGATTTGTACAGCCGTTCATCTCACGTTAGTTCTGCTCTTGAAGTCTATGGAGAAAATGGTGCATCAGATTTCAGGTGGTATAAATTGGCATAAATCCATTGAAATTAATGGAACAATGCCAGTTTATACTAGCTGAGGCTCTGGCCCATGGTTTTATCATACCTTTTTAATTTTCTTGTCAACGTGGTGCTTTTAATGAAGGCAGGTAAACTAAAGTGTGACTCACTGTATGTTTGTATTTCAAAGCTGGAATTGAGTTTAGAAGGATGATGTCACCAATGAAGATTACAGATGGCGGGATTGTTTCATTGTCGTACTAAAGACATTTATCCATCCTAACCCATCTGTTTTCAAACCAAACCAAATGCTCTTAAGATCTTGGAAGCTTTGATTATTAAGAAGACATAAGCTTCTGTTATCTAGGGGTCTGATTCACTACCACATAACGCTGGTTTTATGCCAGTCACACCACTGTCAAGCCACAGTAATGCAGAGCCCCTTGCGTCCAGCTGTACCCTACTACATTGTAAACTCTGTTCAAGAAAAATGACATCACTATAACAGGCCCCCTTTTTTTTTTTCTTCAAGTAGCCACTAAGGTCACTGCTTAAGGTTGCATTTGGCACATTGCATTTTTTGAGTGGCTTTATTACTTATTCAGTTATTTCTCTTACAGCATACCGTAATTTATACTTCATTAAGGGGTTGGCCCTGCAGTTCTTACATGAGTAGTCCTGTTGTCGTAGGTTTGACATATTATAGCTGAGTAAGGCCCCGATCCTGCAAATACTTATCCACACGCTTCACTTTGCACATGTGACTATTCCCACTGAAGTCAAGGAAACTACCTGCATGTACAAAGTTAAGCATTGGCATAAACGTTGGCAAGGTTGGGGCCTGAATCCAAAATGAGTGTACTGAAGTCACTGGAATTCCAGATTTGCAGTAACGTAACTCAGAGCAGTGGCCAGATATTATGGCGATTGGTGCTACACCACTATATCTTAGATAGAGAGTTGGAGAAATATTCGGCCCATTTCTTTCTGTAAGACTATACATGTGAGTAAGAGCTGTGGCATCAGGCCCTAGCTAATTTAACACATTGGTCGGAATCAGAAACATTTCTTGCCATTTGAAAAGTAACTTTAATCAATGAAGTGTTTGAGAGAATATCATCCAAGGAGTTCTATGCATAATTGAAACCCAGTCTGTTTTTCATTCATTTACAAATAGGCCTGGACTAACGCATGAGGATAGGGATAGAGAAATGTAGGTGCCCTTAAAGAAAGCAGAATGATCTCTGATGTGATACTGCTAGATTAAATTGCACTGCAGGAGGGCAGGACCCCTTGCTTTGGCTGCCCAGAATCCTCCTGGCCACATTGATCTTGACATGAAACAAGGTTGGAAACAATAAAAATCCCTCCATCTTCAACTGAAACTGAACCTTTTTACAGGGTTGAAAATGCTCAGTTTCTCTCCCTCTCAAAATGCTCAGTTTCTCTGTCTCTCTTTCTCACACACACGAACACAAACAAAAGGGAGCCTGTTTGCAGGTGACTTCCTACTCAGATATTCAGACCCAGTAATCCGGGATAGGTTTTGCACATGTACCTAACTTCTGGATGGTTACCCATAGTGAGGGTTATCAATACCCATCCTTTTGAGATTCACACATCACCATCTGGTTCACCAGTAATGAAATACGGTTGGTGCTGCTAATGTCTACACTCATCTCTTCAGTTAACCCCTGGCTGTATGACTCTTCCTTTCAGTTATTAGATATGGGTGGCAATCAGCTGATCTCTATTCCATCGGACCTGCCAGGATCCCTAGAATATCTGTATCTCCAGAACAACAAAATCACCATGGTATCAGAGAATGCCTTTGAATCCACACCCAACATAAAGGGAATTTTCCTCAGGTAAGGGCATTTTCTACTTTGAGTCTGCACACAGGATGTTCTGCTTTTTTCCCCTCTTTTCTGATTGCTTGCTTCGGGGGTGGGGAGTAAGGAAGGGGAGGCATTTAAAATCCTAGTTTCTCCTATGGGCAACTTGATGGTACAGTAATCCAGGGTGCAGCTAGGTTTATATGCAATGAGGGGTTGTGTGTGCACCTCATACACTCACTCTGCTTTGAGTGTTGCATCCTTTTAAATTTCAGTGTTTATAAGAATGGGTCAGGCAGACAGACTAGAGAGACTGTAGGATGTCAGTGTACATGCTTGTCATGTGCCCAGATATAGCCAGAAACTAAAAGTTTGGAAGGTCTAATTTTAACTCAGTCAGCCTTGCCACTGATTTTCAGTCCTGAATTTCTATAGTATAGCAAATAAAAGCTTGCTAGTGGGTTGGGGGCATGCACGATTATAGCTTTGCACTGGTAGTTTTGTGGGGAAAGAGTGAGCCCATGATGTGATTATGATGCTTGTATGATCATGGGTGTCATACGGCGATTGGCCTGACTCTCTTAGAGGAAGTGGGATCCAGTGCACCTTGACTGATTACCTGCTGCCTAGTTGAACTTAAGGGGAGATATCTTGCCCTTATAAAGCGGTAGACAGCTGTGGGTGGCTGGCAGATTCCTGCAGACACTGCAGGGATTACAAAGGCTCCTGCAGGGCCCTATGTGAGCAATGGGAAAACATGAGTGGAGAAGGTCTGTGGAGAAGGCCATGTCCAAGTGTGGGGTGCTGGGAGAGCAGGAAGACAGAGACCCACAGGGAGAAGGGACTATGTGACCAGTTTAGCACTGGGGTAAAAGAAATAAACTTTAAACAGAGGACAGACCCTCAGAGAGGAGGGGCTGGGCCCAGCTGAAACTTGAATGAAGACTTTGTAGGTTTGAGTTCTATTTTGAATGACTTTGTGCAGCACTTAATGAATTGGACTCCAGAAGGGGAACGTTTTGAATATCTGGACCATGTGGACTTTTAAAGGGGCCCTGAGTGAAGGGGAAATTGAGGCAGGCTTTTGCAGAGGCACCTCTGGCCACCATGGGGCAACTTGGAAATGGCTGACAGTTTGACAATTGATCTCTGTAGTGCTGCAGACTGATCATTCTAGTCCTGATGTTGTATAATAACTGATTTTCAATAACCATTTGAAAGTGCCCTGCAGATCTTTTGGGAAGGAGCATTTTCAATCCTGTGCCAAAAAACTGAATCTGATTTCTAATATATGGTGGTGTAGCTGTGTTGGTCCCAGATTATTAGAGAGACAAGATGGGTGAGGAACTATCTTTTATGGGATCCACTTCTGTTGGTGAGAGAGACAAGTTTTCAAGCTTACACAGAGCTTACTTCAGCCCAGATCTGAGGAAGAGCTCTGTGTAGCTCGAACGTTTGTCTCTCATACCAACTAGGGTTCCTACCTTTCTTATGGCTGGTAACCGGACCCTCAAGGCCCCGCCCTCTGCTTTGCCCTTCCCCCCAAGGCCCCACCCCTGTCGCTTGCTGGATTATCTCCATCCCCCATATCTCCTTCCAGCTGGGCTCCCTCTGCTCTGGGGCTGGGATGAGAGCTGCTGCAGCCCAACAAGGAGCCCGCTTACAGTCCCCTTTTCGACCAGGCTTTCCGGTCAAAAACCGGGCACCTGACAACCCTATCACCAACAGAAGATGGTCCAGTAAAAGACACGCACCGTGTCTCTCCGATTTCTAATATCTTCTATGAATCTAAAGAATCTACAGTGCAGAGGAAATACATAAACCATACATTTGTTCAGCTCCTGGCTCTAGTCATTATCCTTGCTACAGAGGTTGGGGGGAACCTCAAAACCAGCATGCCATGTTTGCTGAAGAGGAGATCTCTTACCATTGGTAACAATCAGCAATATTACAGCAAATCTTTTCAACATGGCCGTTTATGCACTTTGTGTGAAACATGCAGAACCACATTCTCAAGTGTGCTATGGCCACTTTACACATCTCAGGTGGCACAAATGGTTCAGATCACACACAAGTGGCAGGGCCATACAGCCATATCCCCTCCCACTGCCATTGTCCTGCACTGAACAGAACTTGCCTGCAGAAGAGTGACCTGGAATATAGGGATAGAAACCCAAAGTTTCAAACTAGTTCATAGCCTTATATTCAGAATTTCAAGTTAATTAAGGACAGAGACTAGAACTGGGTCAAACTTTCAAAACAAAAAGTGAAACTCACCAGCTTTCAGTGCAAACCGCAAACTTGGGCCAAGTTCACTCACTTCTATCAACTTTTCAATGAGTAAGTTTCATACAAGCCTGGGACAATTTATTGTATTGCCTGAGCTCTGTTCAAATTCACAACTCATGAGCATGAAAAGCCCTACAAACCAAGAGGTCTCAGTTTCCCACAGCGCTGACAGAGACTTGATATTTTCCCATCCTTTAGATACTGATGTCTATCCAGGATGCAATTTAGATTAAATAGCATTGAACTAGAAACTCCACCAGATGAAGTGTTTGTTAACTATATACTTGGTAGGTGTAATGGGCCACAGCCTCATCTCATCTATGCTCAGCGTAAATCCAAACTGTGGTGACTAACTTAAATGGAGTTACTCAGGATTTACACCAGTGCAGGTGAAATCAGTTTTTGGTCCAGTAAATGTATGGATTTTTATTATTCTAACAGACTGATGTTGGCAATACTGCTCAGACAGGATTTATAAAACCCCTGGTTAGTATGGAATATTTGATTAATCTGATGTTTTATCCTGCAGTAATGTGTTCAAAAGCCTGGGATGTGCATGGCATAGTGAGCTTTATATGGTCTGATCTTATTTCTTTATATGCAATTAAACTGCTTTGTGTAACCTACAGATTTGAATCATTCCTTCCTGGATAATTTGATTTGCTTACTATGCAATAATTTAAAAGCCTATTGTCTGTGAATCCAGCTGCTCAGACTTCTGAGAATTTAGTGAGAACTTGGATGCAGATCAGAAACCAAATTTATATAAAAATGTGTGTATATAAAACAAATACGCAAAAACGTCTTGCTATAGTATTCAGTAAAAGGCCTTGTCAACCTAAGATATATTTGTCAACAAGAAGCCGTGCGTCATCATACCATTGTAAAACAATAGCATGTGCATCTGGGAATATTTAAGAGAATATAACAGTGACCACATTTAAGAGTGATGGGCCATGCAATAGACATGAATGAGCCTTAAAAAATACATATTAGTGTGTTCACATTGTTTACAGATTAACAATTGTTGCACTTTGTTGTGTTTTTGCAGGTAGCCTTTGAGTCAATATTTAAGGGGATAAAATCTAAAACTATCAACAGGTGTCCTTGAGTCTCATAGACAAGTACACTATACTTTGAGAGAGACATTGGACCAATTTCTGTTGGTGGAAAGTACAAGCTTTCGAGCTTCATAGAGCTCTTCTTTAGATCTGGGGAAGGAAACCAGAGTGTCTGAGCTAAATACAAATTGGGATGGATTGTTAAGCACAAAGGTTTACTCACCCTGTAAGAGATCACTTAAAATGAACTGGGCAATTTAGGGTTTGGCAGTGTTGTGTGTTACAAATTGTTGTAATGAGCCATAAAACCAGTGTTTCCGAGGCCACGGTTTTCAGTGTCCAGCAGAGTTATGAATGTAAGTTGCCAGGCTCCTCTTTGGAAGGTGTTGTGCAGGTTTCCTTTGGAGGACGAATACTGAGAGGTCAGATAGGGAGTGCTCGCTTTGTGGAAAGTGTTGGTCCCTGGGTGACCTGGTATTTTTGTCTGTGTGAGTTCATTTGAGAGTGTAGTGATTGTCTGGTTTCATCCATATAGTTGATGTTGGGGCATTTGATGCACTGGATAATGCACACAACCACATGTTGTGATAGGTGTGTGTAAGACTGATGACTCTTGAAAGGTTGTGTGGGATTTTGATCATTGTAGCAGACGAGATATGTCTGCAGGTTTTTTATCTGATGTTCTGGCAGGGTCTGGTGCCACTTCAATTTGGTGGGTCCTGGTCTGTGGGGAACTTGCCTCTGCACACCATCTTCAAAAGCAAGCCTGGGAACTTAAATTCATAACTCTGCTAGATGTGAAAAACCATGGACTCAGAGACACTGGTTTTATGGCTCATTACAACTATCTGTAAAACACCCCACTGCCTTCTAACCTTCAATTGCCCATTTCATTTTATGCAGTCTCCTACAGCAGCATTTCTCAACAACCAATCTGTGGACTGGTGCCAGTACCTAAGATCTCCGTCACACAGTGTAGGAAGGCAACAAGCTGGTCCCTGGAATTAAAAAGGTTGAGAAAGATTATCTCACCTACCTTGTCTCTCTCATATTCTGGGACCAACACAACTACAACATCACTGCAAACACACAATACTTTGAAACTTAGGACATGCAGCTGGTACCATTTCCCTATGGGAGGGAAAGTACTGGGTGCTGGGATGAAGAATACATGGGGGAGACTTTCCAATACTGTGATTTTTCTCTGCTGTGTACAGCTGTAGAAATTAGGGGCAGGGTAATAGATGGAATCTGGAACAATTGTTTCTCTGACAGCCAGATCAGTTGGAATCCCAGTGAGCAGTTACTCTGTGTATCACTCACATTTTCAGGATTTCCCTGCTGTAAAAGTCCTTTGTCAACTGTGGTAGTTAAAAATAATCAGGGTATATAAATAACTGCCTCACCTGGCTGCTCACAGATCATTACCTTCCATCTCTTCCTCTCCCCATCCAAAAGGGCCAAGTCCTCTGGTTTTACTCAGTCCTCAGCCAGAAGTCTCAGTTTTGTCTGAGTAAAAACCACTTATGGACTTCAGGATTTGGCCTCTGCATTTTGGCATCCAGGCTGTTGAACCTGGGACTTTTTAAAAAATGTCCATCTTTAAAAGGCCCTGCTCTCAGAAGTGTCATCCTAGAGTCAGGCCAATCAGCATTTGAACTTTGAACAATGCTGCTTTTTTAGGCTGGTGTAATACTTCTCGGAGTGGTATTGTGTGCCAGGCTGAAGTTATGGCAAGTTTGTACCCAGGCTACCTTCTTATCTCCAAACACTCCTGTGTTTGTAGAAGGTGTACTGTACTTTGCATCTACAGAGATTATATATTGTAACGTAAAGGCAAAGTTCAAAATTAGAATGTAGCACACTGCAGAGAACAGTTATTTTAAACACAGCGGTCACACTTTTGTTTTGAAGGTACAATAAGATAGCGGTTGGAGCAGTGAAGGAAAGTACATTCCAAAGCCTAAAGCATTTACAGGTGCTGGATATTGAAGGGAACTTTGAATTCAGTGATACTTCAAAGAACAGGGATAATTCAGAAGAGGAGGAGGAAGAAGAAGAAGAGGAAGAATCAAGATAACTATGCACATACTCAAGCACATCATGTGGTAGGTAACCATCCTACTATACCTACTCAAGGGTCCAATCCGGAAACCTTTACGTAAGTAACCTTAATTCACAAGAGTAGTGCAATTGAAGTAAATGGAATTACTCATCCTGGGTAAGAGTTGGAGTCTTGGACTCAAAGACCCATCTGAAAATATAAAGGGACAGAGATGGCACAGTCAAAGCTGGTTGGAAAATTTCTCTTAAAAAAACCATTGTGAATCTGGTGTTTATCAAAAATACTGGACAGACCCTAGCAGCCTCTGATTATCCCCACAGCAGGTACAGCACTGGAAGCAGCCGCACTTTCCAGTTTGCCCCCCATGATGTGTCTCAGTTATGGCCTGGTGGGATGGCCTCTTGGGATGACAAAGTCTCCATGCCCACTTGCAACCCACATTGATACCAGTGTGGCTCTTTGATCCACTCAAATAGCTGGAGTGCATGTAGAGGCTTCTGTCTGCCAGTGCCTGTGAGCTCATAATCCTGTAGCTCGAGGCTCATGCTTTTAGATCCAGATAATGACCCATCCATAGGGTCACTATTACATATTCACCACCCCTTCCAAGGCTGAAACAAGAGTCCCAGTTATAGCGGGGCTGGTATTTGTATAGTTAGTGCTGTCCATTGTGGGTCGTACTGAAATCATTACTACTCATTTCACATAGGTTCAATGAAGAGCCTCCAGATCATGACAAGTCCAGGTCACTAACGACCTGGGCTGATTTTGAGCTGGTGACCTAGAGATGAAGAGCTCTGTATCTCATTACCACTCTGATTAGCCAATTAATCCCTCTATTTGAACTTTTTTCTCTCTTCTATTGTACGTGATAAGGTGGAGGAACAGCAGTGTTTGGAGACCATTGATTATTTAAAAGTATAATGAGGTTCAAAAAAGAATTAGATAAGTTCATGTAGGACAGATCTCTTAATAGCTATTAGCCACGATGGTCAGGGATGCATCCTCAAGTTCTAGTTCTCTCTAAACCTCTGACTGCCAGAAGCTGGGACTGGACAACAGGTGATGGATCACTTGATAATTGCCCTGTTCTGTTCATTGCCTCTGAAGCATCTGGCACTGGACCCTGTCAGAAGATGGGATACTGGGCTAGATGGAGCATTGGTCTGACCCAGTATGGCCATTCTTATGTTTTTATTATTGTTTGCTGTGCAGTGCTCTATTCTAAAAAAACGACTTTTATAGGTGGGAAGGTGGCAGGAGACAAGGTACATACTAGCTTTTTGCCACTGGAGATCCAAGCTCAAATTTGGATTTGGTTAGATATGAAAACAAATGTGGACTCCGTCCTAGTAAATGTTTTCATCTTAGAGTATGGAACAGTTCAGTACTGGGGATTGTCTACTTGAGATATCAGCACTGGACCAGAGCAGGAGCTACTGGGAAAGTCAAATATTAGACCCATGCCTGTGTTATCCGTAAAAGTACAAGAGAACTAGTGGTCAAACTAACCTTCTAGGAAAATAGTTTACATTTAATAACTCAGGGTACATTTAATGTTCTAATAAGTACATCTCTGCTTTGGGCCAGGACACATCTGACTTCTGTCAGCATGCATTAAGCTTACTGCGTTTTGAATCACAAGCTCCAAAGTTATATAACTCTGATTTTTGCCTTCCTTATATTATGTATTGCAGGAAAACGTATGGAAAATGACCTATATTCCTGTATCTATATATAGACATACTGAGAGCACTTAGCGAAACGTGCGGTGAATTACACCCAGACTATTTGTGGCACTGGGCCAGGCTTGATGAAGACAGCCTGTTATAGTGCTTTCATCAGGGAGAGACCCTGAATGCCATCCCGAAGCTTCCAATTCATCTTATACAAGACTCTGGATCATAAGGAATTGCTCTGGAACTCACAAAAGCTGGCTTTTGTTTCTTCTATTTCTCTTCCCCTACCATTTCCATCTATAATAACAATATGGGACTGTTTTGAACACATGCCTTCAGATGCTGTTTCTGTCACTCCATTTTAAGTGAACCATATATACGTTTTGTCTCTTTTCTCTCACCCCAAACAGGTGGATAGTTGATCAAGAGGGATGGGGATTTACAGTAGCTTCATCTGTGGAGCAGTATATGAGGCATCTTTATCACCAAACAGCAATAAGAACAACCAGACTGGATTAATCCATTCCTCTGTTAATACAATATGTATATTTGGATGAGAAAAGCAAGTTAAGGCTGGATCCCATAGTAACTTATCCCTACTATCAAAGCCTGCAGTATACACCAGTGCTAGAAAGGTTTTTAAAACAAAGCAACAACTATTGTACATATATAAGAAAAGAAATGCATTTCTACATTATAGTCCTTGTCAAAGTTTCTGTCCCGCTGCTTTTTGTCCATGAGGCATTTGTACAAATATTCCAGAATAGTGGCCAGGTGAATGGACCAAATAATATTTAGGAGCTGGACAGCAGCACACATTCTCAACTAGATGCATACTGTATAGCATACATACTTAAGAGCCTGATCCTATGACCACCAAAGCCAGTGAAAGTCGTGGGTACTCAGAACCTCTCATAAGCAGACCCTAAGATGTCATTAGGACAGTTAGGGGAGGGGTTTCTCATCACAGTGCCAGACTGGGGACCCAACCCTTGCAGGACCTCCTGTAAGATCTTCAGTGCCCTCAGTTCCTACTGAAATCATGGAATAGACATGAAAAAATAAGAATCAAAGCATAAGGGCTGTGAGGTTCTAATCTGTTTGTAATGTCCTTCATCTGAGCAATCTAATCAGTGCAAGGAAGTTGTTGATTCAGTGAGCGTTTCTGGTTGAGCACATGTTGTTTTGCATAATGTGCTCCTAAGATTTATTTGCAGGTGTTGCATTGGCTTGTTTCTACACCAGCTGTTTTCCCTACTGGAGAAAGTCTAGTTATACATTCTCCCTTTTGATTTCTGCAGCACATGAGTTATTCCAAGGCCTTGCCAGTTCTCATGTGGGGAAAATTCAACATGGCCACAAGTCACAGAAGAAAAAAAAAAGCAAAAATTACTTCCAGAACAAAGAAAAAACAGAAATCCAATATTAAATGTGAACAAGAAATACAAATGTGAGCTTTAATTATGTGTTTGAGTCAAAAAATCAACTGCCAACTGATTTCTGGACTAGATTTCCACATAAAGCTGTATATGGATCACTCAGAATAACTATCACCCCACAAAACAGATCAATTTACAGCACCCCCAAACTATTGAGTGTATTTCTGAGGTAACATACAGATATCAGAGTTGCCATGAGACCGTAGACAGCAACCTTTGAAGATGTAAGCAGAGTAATAAGAGAAAGCATGGTTTAAAATGTTGAATATATTTTACAAAGTTGTCTCAAACCTGCAACCCCTCTCTTTGCAGCCCTGGCCAATATTTAAGTTACCTTATGTACGAGTGAATCTTCAGAATCTTCAAACAGCTGAAGGTTTCTCTCTACCTATTACTATTGGAATGCAGTGGTGGTAAAGGTGGGGTCCATCTAACAACTTATTCCCCCCACCACAGTCAATCAGTCACCTGATTTTTTTTCCAGGGAGTTGCTGAGCACCTTTTGATTCCCATTAAACTTTCAATTTCATTTGAGTGCTCCTGGGAAGCGGCTGAGTGCCCTCATCTGCCTCTGAAATTAATAAGAATTGAGAGTATTCAACATTTCCCAGGATTGGGCCCCCTAGGGCAAGTATCAGCATTTGCTAAGGAAGGCCTAGATTCAGTCTGAGGGCCAGAATCTGCTTTCTTTTACACCAGTGTAAATCTGGAATAACTTGACTAAAATAAAGAAAACTGCTCTGGCTTTATACCAGCATAACTAAGACCAGAATCTGGCCTTAGGCTTAAAGAAGCCACTGTCTCCTCAATAAAAATATGACACAAAAAATGCATTTTGTCCATCACAAGCTAACCTACTTTGCTGCTCAAAAAAGAACTATAGGTCTGATTCCTCATTGCACAGCTTCTTATATCATTTCTGCTTGTGCAAAATAGACACAAAATTCTATCAAACCAAAATAGTGGGGTTTGCAACTCAGTTTGCACAGATCTAAATGTCTCCACTCCCTGCTCTTTGTAGAGAATCAGGACCCCTTGTCCAGATCCCTGGCTCTATTCCAGCTAAGTGTGCTTTACCCTGTCAGCTCAGAAGGGCTAGAAAGCCAGCATTACCAGCCAGCTGGGGAGTCCCTGGTTGATGTAGAGCCAGCATATTTGGCTGTTGGCAGGATGTGGCTAGGGCAGGGGGTATGGTTGGAGTGCTTCTGCATCATGGAGAGCCCCAGCTGCAAAGACCTCTGGAGGATTTGTCCCAGGGTCTTAACCACCCCCTGAAGCACTGAGGATCAAGGGACCCAAAGATCTGGGCTTCTGTTTTTATCCCCTGTGACAAAAATGAGGACAGGTTAGAAATCAGCTGCTTAACTTATAATACTGCGCCAAGAAAAGAAATATAATCTAGAGACCAACATAACCACCACAGGGTATGACTTTGTCTTCTCCCGTTACTCCTGTTGCTCAGACTTTGAGAAGAAAGAACTGAAGTTGATATGCATGTTGTTGGTAGTGAAATGCTCAGATCTGGAATATCTGTCCTAGCAGCATTTTACTGAGCCTGCATTTCAACACACAGTATGTTTGCATGGCCTGTATGAGGGTGTATACAAATGAAGGCCTCAATTTAATTTTTTTCTTAAAACCCATTTTCCATACTAAGGAGACAGTGCACAAGTCTGAAAAAAAGAAAAATAAGATTTTTCTGAGCTTGGACAAAATTCTTCACTGCAGCAACGGTGCAAATATTTTTGACGGGATCTGGTTCATATAGAGAAGATGCAACTAAAATTGTACAGCATAAGGCCACGCACACACCAGTCAGTTCCATGGTATTGTAGATGTGTAATGGTTTGCAATACCACCAGCACACCAACTGTTATAGTAAACTTTTTAAAGAGGTCCTATACAAATACCCAAAAAATCAAGTGCTACAGGCTATTAAACCAAGATCTTTTAAAAAGTAAAGCGGTGTTAGGAGAAATATATTGTTTAAAGGTGAGATTTTTTGAAGTGCTTAAGGAAGATAGGTGCTTTTTAAAATCCCTCCCTAAAATGATCCTTGTATTTTAGAACACTGTATTAACCTTGACCGGTTTTGAAACTTCCCTAGACACGATTGTCTATTTCAATACAGTTATGGAATGAGATCCTTGTAGTTGCTGGGACTGTAATATTGGAAATGACTTAGTTTGTGTTAGGTTTTCTATCCTATTACTAATCCCCTTTCTGCTCCGTGGTTCATGCTATGAGAGTAGCGAGTGAAAGTTAACATCTGAGCCTGCTTTAGCTTAGGTGAAATGAGTTAGTTGACTTTGGTCCAGTGCTATGTTGCAGTCGGTCCTATGAAGAATCTCTTAACTACCTATTGAAGTTCTTACAGTGGCACCAAGCCAGTGTAAGTACCTGTAAGGCAAAGGGTTGAATGGGCATTGAAACTAACCCTCAGACAACTGGAGTTAGCCCTCCAATTCAGAGTGAGAGAAGCTTGCACTGTCGTTACCTTTTTGTGGATTTAGAAGAACATTGTCATGGATGTTAACCAAAAAAAACCTGACCTACCTAATTATCCCATTGGTAAGTCCTCACCAGCAAGACTCAATCTTTATCACTTTCCTTCAAACTGAAACCTTCTGAGGGATTCTGGTTCTTCCTGAAGCTGCAACTATTGAAAAGGAACAAGGTTAGTGGTTTATTTTAGTGAGATTTAAGACAAACAAGTGAGTGTGTGTATGTTCCTCTTCCCTTATAGGATGCAGAGCCCCATTCTCACAGAAAAACTTCCATATACTGCTCTGCCAAGTGTCTAACAACTTCTCATTAATGACTGGAGAACAGACTCATTCCTGCCATCAGGGTATGGGCCAAAGACAACATCTCACATATATTAGGTAGAGAGGGAAATGTACTGTTGGGCTAGCCAGTCCTAATCCAGTTAGGGCAGGATTCATCCCTACACTATATTTTCTAGAATTTTTGTCTAGTCTATTATTTATATTACAGAAGTGCCTACAGGCCACAATTGCAGTTGGGTCCCCATTGTGCTACCCACTCTACAGATTCATAGGGCTAGATCCACAAAGGGGTCTTAGGCTTTGCAGTGCCTAAACTAAGCAATGGGAAATGCTGAGGAGCGGTGTGGGGCCTAAAACCTGCCCAACAAAAGGAGTTAGGTGCCTAATGGGAGGCACCGTCCTCTTCTTGGGATCCACTGCTACCCAACCTCTCTTGTTGTTAGGTACCTAAGTCAAGTCAGTCATTTCAAACAAATAAGGAAGAGCCCTTATACCCAGTAGTCACAGCAGTCAGGCTGTGGGAGACCCCCTCTGATGCAGAGTAACAACTTGAACCGAGTTCTCTCTCTTCCAGGTAAGTGCCTAGCATCTGCGTGATTGGGGTGGGTCTCTGTCTCTCCTGAGAAAGCTTTATATAAAATACTTATTCATGGGAGTAGGGAATTGAATTTGAGTCTAACATCCCACATGGGCCCTTAACCCCTGTGCTGTAGAGTCCTTCTCATGCTCTTGTTCACTGGCCTAATGAATATTTAAGTATTTTATAAAAAGTGGAACAGTTTCAACAGGAGACATTGAGTGAGGCCCTACCAGATATGTACCTGGAGGTGAGATAGGCAGGGAATCAGCTAGTTTGAAGATCTAGCTGGGGCTGGCATAAGCTAAACATCAGGTGTCAGAACTGAGGTGACTTTGCACATGCCTGCTAGCAGAAATTTAGGTGCCCTGGGGACTTTACTGACAGAAACATAGGTGCCTAGAGAATTTAGGTGCCCAAAGGGTTTGGTGGCAACTAGTGGGGATTTTGGATTTAGGTCCCTAAAATGGCAGTTAGGCATCTAAATCCCTTTGTGGATCTAGACTAGTCAGCAGTCCCTGCTCTTAAGAATTTACAATCTACAAACCACAGGACCTTCCTCTTCCTAGCAATCATCCGTACTGTCCAGATCTCCAAGTCCCTTGCACCCCCCCATCCAGATCGCAGCTCTGTTCTTCCTGCAACTGCTGCCATTACACACCTCCTTATTGCCAAACAATCTGCCCTCCTACCCCTCTTGCCTCAGATCTGACACTGTCCATCCCCCCACCCACTCCCAACTCAGTTCAGCCCCCCTTAAATCCCACCACTCTCCCATTTCAGCTTTGCCTCCTCATTTCCCCACTCCTGCCACAGCTCCATCACCACCCCCATTAATTCAACCCCTCCCAACTCAGCTCCTTCTCTCCACATGCTCCCATTCCTGTCTCAGATCTGCCTCCCAACTTCCCCTCCCACTCTGCACCCCACACCCTCTTCCTGCCAGTCCCCTCACTCTCTTTAACCCATAGTGTGCTGCCCCCACTCACTCCCCCCTTGCTCTTACACCCATCTCCCAATGCACTGACACCGCTACTCCTCATCCCCCACCCCCAGGTTCAAACCCCACCATCACTCTCCAGTGCTGCTCCCCCGTCCTCCTGCTGGACCCCATAACTCACCCTTGGAGACTTCAGGGCCTGAAGTGGGGAGGGACAGTGGTGATTCCACCCTCCCATCCCTACCATAAGCTGCTTCTGGGAGTGGATGTGCCCCTCACCTTCCCCCAGTCTATAGGGAGGAGTCTGCAGAGACGGAGCAGCCTCATGTCAAGGCCCAAGCCTGCCTCCCCCCTACAGGCAGGGAGACCCTGTGAGGAAGGGTCCTGCCATATAAGATATCGCCCCCCCCCCCCGCCCAGAGGTGCAGCGTCCCTGTGAGACAGGGCTCTGACTGACAACCCCATTCACACTGGGGGATGTGGCTTCTCCAGGCCCACCCCATCGGGCACAGTCTGAAGTGGTGTGGGGCCCAGGCTCTGAAAGGCGTGGGGCAAAACAGCCCTGTCCAGAAGATGGGGCCTCCTCATGGATTGAGGGGGGCACCCTGAAGATCTCCCTTGGAAGAGGGGGCAGGGGCCTGCTGAAGAGAAAAGCCCAGTCAGGCAGCCGCAGAAGCTGATGGGAGAGGAAGGGAGAACGGCCACTGCCCTGTCTGAAAACTGCACACGGTGAGTGCTGTGGGGAATGCCCAGGAGCCTGGGGAAGAGCAGCTGGGCTGTGGGGGGTGAGGGAGGTTCAGAGCTGGTTAAGGGGATGTGTTGGTGGGGTATGAGAGCTGCAGCCGGGCCCCTTCTCTGCCATAAACTGCTCCAGCTCCCCTTCTCCCCGTCCCCAAGCATGGTGGTGGGGGGATGCTGCTGGGGCAGCTAGTGAAGCGCAGGTACAAACACAGTTACTGCATCCACTCCTGTGGGTCATAGGCGCCTCTAACGACCACTGGAGGTCACCTCTTGGTGCAGGGAGGTTGGTGCGTCATTAGAGAGAAAGTCCACCTGGGGAGCCTGGCCCCACAGAGAATTGGTAGGAAGAGGCAGCTGAATTCCAATGCCCAGGGGGCACCGTGGTGCTATGTCAGAATTGAAATATTTTGTCGTTTGGATATTCCCCTTTGGTAAAAAAAAAAAAAAAAATCATTTTTCCAAAGAAAGCAGACACTTCTTTGGTGAAAATTTTAGTTTAATTGAAAATCCAGTTTTCTATGGGGAGGAAAAAAGAACATCAAAAAGCCTGGGTGGAAAGATTTTGACCAGTCCTATCCCTTACCCATCATGGGGCTTGTTAAAAGAACCTTCCTTTTCACAAGGGAGTTCTATGACAAGCCCTTAAATGAATAGGTGGGGATCATTTCTGTGGGAGGCCTTCCTCCTGGCCCTGCAGGGACATAGCTGGGGGAAGGGAGGGAGAGTGAAGTTATCTCCCGCCCCCCCCGCAATCAGGCAGCAGTGCTGGGGGAAGGAACTGCAAGCCCTCCTTTCCTGAGGAAGAACAGCAGCTGGGAGAGCCTGGAGACTCTTTCCCCCAGACCCCCATTAGGAGGGTGCAGGGGGAAGTGGTTTGGGGCCACCAGGAGAACCCTGTAGCACCCCCAGACAACTGAGGAGCTGGGCTGTCACACCAGCTCCTGAGGTGTGTTTAGGGCAAGTCCCATCTCCCTGCCCCCTTGCAGGCAGGAGAGAGGAGGCTTGTTCCCTGAACTGCCACAGGAGATGGGGTTGCTGCATGAGTAATACAGCTCCCTGCGGACACAGCTGGACTGGGAACTGTGTTTGTCATGCTATCAGCTGCCCTTTCTATGGTCCATAGGGTGCTTGCGTGAAGACAGAGGTGACAGTTGGAAGCTGAAAGTTTGGGAGGAACTTGGCTCTCAACCCCACTGCACCTGTAGCAGCAGATGTATGGTAGGGAGCTATGCACCTGAGAGTCCTGCAGTTCTCCACTGCATGCCCCCTGACCTGGTCCATGGCAGAGTTGAGAGTGCAGGCCTGAGGAATGCAATTCCCAACTCCATTCTGCTTGCAGCTGTGCTCACCGGGGGACTCTGTGTTAGCAGGCTGGTTTTTTGTTTTTGTTTTGGTCTGGGAATAACTGCTTTATAAGTTCTAGTACACTCAAATGAGTTTAGAGAACTTGAGTTCAAGACTTCATGAAACGCAGGCTGCTTTATTCAAGTGGTTTCTCTCCCGAATGGAGAGAATTTTATGGAGGCCATTGCAATGTAACAAAGTAATTACTAGTGAAAGCAACAGTGAGTGAATTCCCTAAAGAAGTCTTGCATTCTGCATTTTTATTAAGGAAAATATTTGTGTTATATTGCTACTCTGATTCATCGTCATGCATTTATGAAGTCAGCCAGCTGGAGTTATATATGGAGGGCGTGGATATTGAATGTATCGTACAATCAATCAGTCATACAAAGTGTTTCCACTAAAAAATCTTCAATTGCAAATCCAAGAACATTAAACAGACCAACACCAAATGCTGTGTCTAAAATATCCACATTCTAAATGCTTTTAAAACATATGCGAAGATTCTCAAATTGTTTTATACAATGGATGGGTTTTTTCCCATGGAAATACCAAAACCTATTTGTAGTGTGAGATTATGGCAATGTCAAGGATGTTGTTTTGGATTGGTAAATGGGACTACATTTGCAATAGTCTCTCAGCCACAGATGAAGGAATTAGTATGTCTCGTGCTTGAGTCACCCTGGGTGTGGTAGCATGTTATATTGACAACCTGGCAACCTTAGAAAAAAATTTGTGGGTAGGTGTTCACTGTAGAATTAACTCAGGCTCTTACCTGGGTGTGGTCCCTAATCCCACTCCTATCCACATGCAAAACCCTCTCACTGAGTTCAGTGGTACTTTCAACCTGGGCTAGAAAGCTCATCTGGGTTTGTGGACTAAAAGTCATTTGAAGCTGTCACTGAAGCTGTTAGCCCACCTACTTTGCATTATATGCTAAATCACTTGAGTGCTGATAGTCCTCCAATGCCTTCCCACAATTCCTGCTGTGTACCAAGAAGGACAAACAAGTTCTCCTACAGTTCTCTTAAAAAGAATCATAGAGCAGGTCAGTTTACTGCAGCACAAGGGGATAGGCCCATAGCTAGCAACACACGCAGGTGAGTGCAACACCAGTGAGTACCCAGTGACTCTGGTTTGGCTTTGCAATGTGGCAATTTGCACCTGGACTGTTTGCACCTACTCTCGTGTACTGATCACCTGAGTGAAAACGTACCCTGAGTATTCTCTTTCTGAATCTTCTAATGTGTAAATAATGACAACTTGAGCTGTGCCCAACCGCAATTCTGGATCCAATCCCCTGCCCCAGGTTTTGGGACAGTTAGCATTTGGCTGTCAGCTTTGTACATAGGGCCTTTCTCCACTAATATGCATTTGTGTGCTTCGTTCAGTTTATATATCATCTACATGTAACGAATAATTTGACGTAGATATAGTCATTCCTGTATAAAAACCTGAGGGGGGGGGCAGGGTCCATTTTAAAACAATGTATTCCTGCTGAGTAAATTATATTGATAAACTGAAAACTAGGCAAATCTCTGATTTTTGAGTGTAACTATGTTTTCAAGAAATAAAGCCACCAAAGATTAAAAACACTCAACATATTTAAATGGAACAGAATATTGGCAGATTAGGGCGCAAAATGTCTAGTTTGACTTGGCTCTGTGTAATTACCACATGTTTTTAATAGCCTAGTAGTAAAAACCAATAAAACCACTAGAACCAGTGAAATCATAATGAAACATTTCAACATTGGTATTTTTTTCTGTTTGTTTTTGCTTTTTCTTCTAGCCCTTACAGTGGTTGTGGTAGATGCAATGTGAGATATCAGTTAACATAAAACATTTTTAATTCTGCTTCTCTTGCTTTTTCCATCTTATTAAAATACGCTTCTCTGGGAAAAAATGCTAAAGATGTAATGTCCCTGTAAGCAGGGTCTGAATGTACTCTCCCCTGACAGCTAATTGGGGAGGGAGAGACTACAAAAGCAAACTGTATTTACATGAACACACCTACTCTGCATAGGTATCTAGCAGACAGGAGCTGTGTAGCTGCAAGTGATCAGCTTTGGCTGGTGTTGGGTTACAAATCACTTTAGTTGTGCTGGGCATAGGTGACTGAGTTTGTCACCTTTGCCACTCCCGAATTCTGGGGCTATTCTGCACTGGCATACTCCCCCGGGTAGATTAGAGCAGTCTCAGGGCTTCTCTTTGCTATGCTGGCTGCTGGTAACCCCCAAGGGCTGCTTAATTGCCAGGGATGAGTGGGATACAGATATGCCCTGGCCAGGCACCTTTTCCCCCAGCCATGCCTTCTGTACCCAGGCTAGGGAGCCACTATGGCAGTTCTGGCAATCCCCCTCAATACTGGGGGGATTCCTTGAAGGGATGCCTAAGCTGCCTTTAAGGCTGCTTTGTGCCACAGGAGTGATGCAGATAAGCCAACATAAAGCTGAGGACCTGGGCCAAAGTGTCCCTGATAATAAATTCCAGGAATATAACTACACATTCTTAATTGATGTAATTTCCTATGTTATTTCCTCCAGTTAATCTCTCTCTCTCTCTACATGGGGAATCTGCAGCTGTGGCAACAGGTATGAGCAGCATCAGCTGGTTTGCAGATGCCATGTCTGTATCCTCCTCCAAGAGGGGCCTTTGATGCTGCCAAAAAGTCCACCAGCATCTCACAGATGCACTGCCTGATTCCTGAAATAGGAGTGAAAGCAGAAGCAGGAGACATTCTTCCGCTGGCACTGGATCCATGTTGCTAGTTCCGGTTGCTGGGAGGTAGCTAAGCTGGATGTGCCGATGGGCTAACAGCATTTCCAGTCTGTGCCATGGGCTGGCCAGACAAGTTCTCCCACAGTACACCATGAATCAAGCCCGATTGCAGCCACAGCTAGCATGGGCACTAAGAACCCTGGGAGATGCCCCCAGAAGCCACAGTGTCTAACCTGTGTCTGCGTAATGCAGTATGGAGGTGTCACAGCACAGCTATGAGGCTTGCATAGCAATGCAGTATGGACGCTCAAGCATGAGCTTGGAAAGAATGAGTCTGCAGGCCTGGGTCATGCAGACCTGGGTTTAGTATATAGTGCAGACATACTTCTAGAGGTCCCAGTCAGAGTCCCGTTTGAGTGATGCACTGGACAAACATAAAGAAAAGATAATCCGGGTCCCAAAGAACTTACATACAATCAAAGTATAAAATTAGAGACTGCGAGTGAATACAAAAACTGACAAGGTAACAGTGAGGTATGATCAGTGTAATAGGCAGTAGTCACAGCACACTGGCATACAGAAGGCATGCACTGCAGTGATGGCTGAGGTTTTTAATGGCACCATTGACACAATGTGAGCTAAACATTTAATATTCTCAAAGCAAAGTCTATTTATCAATGGGGTATAGGTGCCCAATACAACTAGCAGAGCATTCATTTTAAAGTACATTTCCTTCCTGTCCAGAGACCCTACAAAAATGTTTCCATTTTGCAATTTCATATCTAAGACTTCCCCATGACCCACCACCAAAAGATGGTGAGAGAAGGTAAACCATTATGTAGGATTAAAGATATTCATTAGATAAGCAAGACTCACTCAGGACCACTGGCTTCTTCCTCTGAGTGAGAAAGCTTTTCCTTCTGAGAGGTGTATTTTGTGGAAATTATACCATTTTCTAATGCTAGGATTGATTTGGGTCTCTTGAGGCCTCACTACACTCTTACGAGCTGCCATACCTCTAAACTCATGGAGGCATTCAGGTTAAGATCTTAACATTTGCTGCGACTGTTCCAGGAAGCAAATAGATGGATCTCCTGCACAGAGTTTGATATTGCGTGTGTCTGATATTGATATCTATCTTTCGAAGCACTATGACCACCAAGAGGACATCTAGTCTTGAGTCTTGTTTCGACTTTTGTGTTGGTAATTTGAACAAAGGAAGGTTTAAAACAATATTTTTAAATGTGGGGAGCTGAGTTCACAACTGTAGGATCCTAATTAGGACATCTTTTTTGGAAACTTGCATCAGACACCTAGCTGCCTTAATGATGGGAGCCATATAGTGATGTGTAGTGATATACTATGTGTATAGTCCAAGAGCCATCCTGACATCATAGGGTAAGAAACTACACCTAGATATTATGATGCATGGTGTCCTATATATACCTAGAAGATAGATTAGGAAAGAAGGCTGAGGGCAGGCAGTGTGGGTTTGCAGTCCTTCATAGATCTTACCATTTGACTAAGGACTTGTCTATATGGTGTCTCAGTGGACACTAGCTGGGGTATAAAGTCTACTGTGCATCAGCATATCATGCACTAACCAGCCTGCATGGACCCTGCTGGTGTGCACTAAACATTCCCTCGTGCACTTAATTTGAAGTTTGAAACAACAGCATCCACATGGGCCAATTAGTACTCACGAGCTGCAGTATAAATTCTAGTGCATGCCAGCTTGTCTTGCGCACTAATGTACTGTGTAGACAAGGCCAAAAAGTAGCATATGGCTTTGCTGGCTGGCACCCTGATGGTACTTTTTAGCTGGCAGTCCATGGCACCTTGGAATCAAGGTGTGTGGGCAGACCTGTCTAAGAAGTAGGTACCATATGACTGAACTATTCATTAAAAACATTGGGTCTGCCCTGCCCCTTTTGCAGTCATTTACACCTGCACAAAGTAGGTGTAAAAAGCTACCAGTTCAGAATGAAAGGATTTTACAGTCACTTGCACAGATATAAATGACTACACAAGGAGCAAGGCAGTGGAGAATCAGATCTGATGGTGGTTATAATTTAGCGTCATTTTTGGTTTAGTGAACTGTTCCTCATCTGATCCTGATTTCTGCAAATGTATTCATCATGCATAGGCATTTTCTGATAAGTTTGGATGAATCAGTTCTATTCTAGGGCTTGTTCAGGAATTGTTTGCTTTGCATATTTGAAACTACTCTTTAATTATTTGTGAAATGGAGTTCTGTGCCCCTGCCGATTATTGTGGGGGAGGGGCATGCCCTTGCTTCCCCCTGCCCCTTGTGCAAGCCCCTGCTTTTGGCAAGTGCTGAATAAATTGCCCTCTCTGAATAGACTGTTTAAATTCATTTCATAAATTTTCCCATAGAAGACACCTTAACATTCAGCAATATTTTATAGCACCAGCTAAGGACTTTCAGAAACTGATGTGGCAGGCATAACAATAACAAAATACACAGGTATTTGACAGGAAATAGTTTGTGATCTTTGTACCTACCTGGTTCTGTATCCTTACACAAATCCTTTCCCCCCAAGATCTACCTAACAAAACATGGAAGTTTGAATGTTCTGAGCACATCATGCCGTCCCCCCAGCCCAGCTTTGAACAGTGTAGTAAGAATACATTAGCCTATTTTCACAACATCAGGTTTATTTAAAAATGTTCTTCATTGCAAACATTGGTAACACACCCAGCAGAATTTACTGTAACCGAAGATTCGGTAGATGGCTGAAAAAAGAGACAACATTCAGTATAGTCCAACCCATGGTATAATGAAAAATAAAAAGCCAGTTTCCACAGCAAACTCCCTACAAAACCCAAATATTACTCATCTGCATTGGATTCCAGTCTGTGTTTATTCTGCCCTTGGAATGAAGCGTATTCGTCAAGAGCTTTGAGCACTGAGCTTACACATATACAGTGGAACAATCTCTAAATAAAAGGAGAGAACAGTGAACACTCTTTAGCACCAATGCTTATGTGTTAGGGCTTGCATGGTTCTGCCATTGCAGGTATATTGTACTGATTCTACTGCAGAGATAGATTTTTACAAATTTCTGTGTGGATCTGGCACTTAGAAGGCAAAATGTCCTTTGCAAGAATCTAGACATCTTTGAACAATATATTGCAGTTTGATGCCTGTCTTTGAAGTGTGTATAACAGAATAGCTTTTTGAATGTGTTTTCTTGCAGATAAATATTTTGCTCTGCTTTCAGTTTGTGGCATTATTAGTTACAAATTTGCCTCTTGAGATCAGTGCAATTTTCTTAGAGCTATTCTAAAACTAAACGAAAACTCTTTGTTTAAGGAGTAGAAGAGAAGATGAAATTAGCACACTTTCAGTATGTTTTGCGAATTAGTTTCTGGCAGCAATACATCTACATAAATGCCATGTTCGTAATTAGTGAGATGCAAAAAAAAGGCTTTTGTCAGAATTAATTAAAAAGGGGTTAAATAAAAAAGCCAAAGCAAAAAAGGAGTGTCAGATACTATACTGGAATCAAATCAGTTTGCCCAGAGAGAACCCAAGTTGTCCATTGGTTAATTTCCCAGTATTAAAATCATCCCCCTAAAGAAGCCCCTGATCTCTTTCAAGCCCCTTGTATCTTTTCTGATCACAGCTCATCTCCTAGCTCCGGTACAAGCATGCTGACCATAACTCCACATTTTTTTCCATATAAGACAGAGTCCTCTCTCCAGCTGTGAGGTAGTGATTGGGTACCAGGTCACTGGGTATCAGATACCATCAAACGTAGCAATTACACATTTGTTTCCAGTTCATTGATTTCAATAGTGCAGTGGTCTTTACTGTTGGATTTCTTTGTGTGGTTCCCCGCTGGGTTTAGTTCTTGCTCCACTTGTATAGGTATATGGTGCTGAAACGCTTTCACTGTTTCTGGCCCACGAGACTCACTCATGTTCTTCACACAACCATTTCTCTGGTAAGCCATGATTTGATGAATGCTGATGGGTTTAGGTTCACAGATCAATGGCACCTATGTGGGAAACAGCAAGATGCTGCATATTATCACTGCTAAACACAGGCAATGAATCCCATCCTAATGATGCAGTTGCACTAGATGCCTATCTGGCAAAAAATGCCTATGCAGGTTGGACACCTAATTCCCAGTGAAAGTCAATGGGAGTTAGGTGCCTAACCTGCATCGGCAACAAGGAGGGTTGGGGAAAAGTGCCTATCTGCATCTTTGGGCACCTAAATACTTTAGTAAATCTGGCCCTTGGTCCGTCAGCAGAACTGTTGTTATCACTGGAAGTTCAACCATTCTTCAAGGCAGTATATCTCCCTTTGTTTAGAAAGGGGATGAATGGCTAAGTGAGTGTCTATTTATATTCACCCTGGGCCCAATTTTTAAAGGTATTTAGACACCTAAAGATGCAGATTGAAAATCCCACTAGGTACCTATCTGCATCTTTAGGTGCCCAAATACCTTTAAAAATCTGGCTCTTTATTCCTTCCTGCATGAACAAGAGACAGCTAAGAAACTTAAATGTAAACAAATGCAAGGAAGAAAAAAGGAAAAACTACTTATGAAACATTATAATCAACCTGCAATCAGTGTTCATTGTCACAGGATTTGATCAAAGCAAATAATTTAGTAAGATCCTCAAAAGAGATGAGTAGGAAAAACGCCCACAGTTAGTTAGATTACCAAGTTACAAGGCTACAAATCCTAATGTTTCTGGGCCAGATGGAGTCATGTACAATACTGCATTATCATGGGGCTCCTCCTTATTGACTACTGATGCTATGAGGGGTTTTGTCTTTCTCTGAAGCATAATGTAGAGCAGTGGCAGGCAAACTTTTTGGCCTGAGGGCCACATCGGGTTTCCGAAATTGTATGGAGGGCCGGTTAGGGGAGGCTGTGCCTCCCCAAACAGCAAGGTGTGGCCCGGACCCCGCCCCCATCCGACGCCCCCCCCCGGGACTCCTGCCCCATCCAACCCTCCCGCTCCCTGACTGCCCCCAGAGCCCCCACCCCTGACTGCCCCCTGCTGCACCATCCAAACCCTCCTCTCATTCCTGACTTCCCCCCCGCCCCCCAGGACCCCTGTCCCATCCAACCACCCCTTCTCCCTGTCTGCCCCTGGAACCCCTGCCCCTGACTGCCCCCTGCTCACCCATCCACCCCCCCCCTCCTTCCTGACTGCCCTGCTGGGACCCCTGCCCCCATTCAAACCCCCTGTTCCCTGCCCTCTGACCGCTGCGACCCCTATCTACACCCCCGCCCCCTGACCACCACCCCAAACTTCCTTGCCCTCTATCCAACCCCCCCCCCCGCTCCCTTCCCCCTTACTGCACTGCCTGGAGCACTGGTGGCTGGCGGCGCTACAGCCGTGCCGCCCAGAGCACCGGGTCAGGCAGCCGCGCCGCCCGGCTGGAGCCAGCCACAGAGCCCCGGGTCAGGCCGCGATTCTGCAGCTGCGCTGCCCGGCAGGAGCTCACAGCCCCGCTGCCCAGAGCATCGTGCTGGCGGCGCAGTGAGCTGAGGCTGCGGGGGAGGGGGAACAGCAGGGGAGGGGCTGGGGGCTAACCTCCAGGGCCAGGAGCTCAGGGGCTGGGCAGGAGGGTCCCGTGGGCCGGATGTGGCCAGTGGGCCATAGTTTGCCTACTTCTGATGTAGAGGCTACTGCTGAGCCAAGACACCAGACTGAACAGACCATTGGTCTATCTATGCTTTGGCACCTCCTTGCCTTCCTTTTACCAACCTATCATCTAGACCTCTGAGCTAACGTACGTTTTTGCCCTCTGTGCTGTTTCAAAGGAAAAGAGGATTTTATTGATTGATTTCACAAGTAATGTGTTGAAATATCCTTAAAATAGAAACCAAGATGGTCTGATAGGGAAAACAATACGCAAATATTGGCAGAGGAAGGAGGTGGGCTTGCAGCTGAGACAATCTGCCTTTTGGGTATATTTGACTAACTACACTAAATGTGCAGCCAAAACATAAAGACGACTAATGGTATGTTTTAAAATGGTTATTGAGTGCCAAGTAGAAAATAAATCTCCCTGCAAACAAGTTTACAATCCTTTAGGGGGATTGGGTTATATTTTTGAATGAAACGCTATGCTCCAGGACAGAGTTTCAAGAATCTTCCTCCAAAGGAAACTAATAGTACTAAATACAGTAATAAAATGCCAGGAGTCCTGTATTATGCAGAAGGTCAGACGAGATGATCATAATGTTAGTTTCTGGCCTTATAATTGATTAAATATTTTTCTGTTAGTCTGTATGCTTAAACAAGACTCCTAGTTTACCCAAGGTTTTAAGGGCTCCGTCCTGTGATCAATGGGAGTTGAGAGTTGCTGAGCACCTCTCAATATAAGACCCTACCTAACAAAACATGAAAGTTTGAATGTTCTGAGCACATCATATCAAGCAGTGACAATGGGATTCACCAGAAAGACTGGGCAGTAAAATGGGAGAAATGATCAATAATAATTTACTATTCTTATTACTATTATTTAGTTAAGCTCTGCATGAGCTGGATGCTATGCAAGACCTAGAAAAAGACAGTCCTTTCCCATGGAGAGTGAGAGAGAAACACTTAATTACAAGCTGTCCGGGTTGAGCAGAGAAAGTTTATTGGGGTCACTCCAATTAACAGAAGTGATTGGGGACTAACACTTAGGTGGACTAGCAGCAATAGGGCTAGTGCAAGAAATCTGTTTTAGAAAGGGATTTGAATGAAGAGGGGTCACCTTTTGCACCAGGAGTGGGAGTTCCAGGTGTAAAATGAGGCATGGAAGAAAACACCAAGAGAAGAGTGGGAGAAGGAAACAAGGGGAGTGGAGCACAGGGAATGTGAGAAGAAGTAAGAGGAAAGAAAAGCAGAGATGTAAGCAGGGGCTTGCATGCGATGTAGAAGGTGTGAAGATGCCAGTGGAGGGATGTTAGAGGGGAGTGACATGTTCACAGTGGTGGAGGGAGGAAGATTATTTTAGCAGTGGGTGTTGTGAGCTGTGCTACAATATTCACTGTGATCATGAACATATTCTTCATTTGCCCTTTTCTGTACACGCACAAAGATGGTTGCCATCTTGCTTCGGATCACAATTTCACAATCTGATTTTTTTTGTGCGAGAGTGGGCTTTTTGCATGATCTGATACTAAAAAAAGCATTGTCCCAAAACTTCACAAGAAAGCAAAATGTTGGGAGTTGTGAACTCACCCAAAATGGAAAGAGAAATTTTATGGATAAAATTTCATGGAAAAAACTTCTGTAGATCTCTGTTTACACCCCGACCCCATTTAATACATATTCCTGAGGGTCCTACATGTGGCACGTGTAGGGTGACCAGATGTCCTGATTTTATAGGGACAGTCCCAGTTTTTGTGTCTTTTTCTTATATAGTCTCCTATTACCCCCCCAACCCCTGTCCTGATTTTTCACACTTGCTGTCTGGTCACCCTAGGCACATGGCATTTTGTGCAATGTGCTACAGAGCCCACAACAGAGTGTTCTGGGTTCTCTAATATTATTCAAACAAATACCTTGCACTGTATGGTCATACTCCTGGGACTGACTTTAAAAAGCCATGACTCTGACGCTACCTGCTTAGTTAGGTGATGGTGCACAGTGATGAAGTCTAACTGCTATCCTATATTTGGAGATACCGCCTATTCCCACCCCCAGAGTTTAAAATATCACCCTCATTAAAGGGCAACAATCAATTGTTTAGACTCCATAACATATCGTCCGTACTGTCCTAAAAAAGGTAAATCCTTTACACTAATGCTACAAATATTACCTACTTTTGAATTTTGATCCATAGCCTAATTTTGTTCTTTCCATTAATATAAATTTCATCCAGAATAAATGAATGTGAGATGTTGATGTTTAAAATATTTTTATACTGACAAGGAGTTCATTGCTCCAGACTGACTCATTTTGTTTTGTTCTTACCTCATCACCATCCTTGGTGAACTCCTTTCTGCAGACATGAGCCATGATTCCAGCAGCTAGGGCATCTCCCAAGACGTTGATCATTGTTCTAAATCTGTCTCTGACAAACAAAACAGTGGTGTTAGGTGACAGGTGCTCTGTCTTGGAAATAGTCATACCTGCAACAGGTACATACTGATTCAACACTTTAAATATTTAGAAAAAATGAACTCAAGAATAATCATTGCTGTTTTCTCCATAGTCTGTAAGCTATTTGCCTCTGTTCATAGTTTTGTATTTGAGTATTTAGATATTAAAAACTCAGAATATTGTCTGATTTGGGGACTGATCCTGCAAAATGTCAAGTTCCTCAACTCAAGTGAGTTGAGGGCAATCAATATCTTGCAGGTCCCTGATAAATGAAGAATCACAGCAACCAGAATGCTGGTTAAGGAGATCACTGTGTGTAGCAGAGTCTGCAGTCTTCCAGAACAACATACCCAAATAACAGTGCTTTCCTGGCAATATCAAACTAACAGGAAACAGTCAACTTATATCACACTCCTGTCTGAAAACACCTTACCTGCTATCGTTACAAGTAACACTTAAGACTAGGACAGAAAGAAATGAGAGAGAATATTTTCAGTTTATTGACTTTGTGCATTTGACAACATCTGTATAATAGATTTCATGATTCTCATATCCTGGGACCAATTTCAGTGTTCTCCCTGTTTAGTCAGTTAATCAGTCTGTTTCCCCTTGTTATAAGAAAAAAATATTTTTAAAAAATGGATTGTAAAACCACAAATATTGATGGGACTCACGGACAAGGGTAGTATCTGAAACTACTTTTAATACATTATTTCCAGTTGACAATATTTCAAGTTAGAGAGACAAGGTAGGTGTGGTAATACTTCTCCCACCTTGTTTCGTTCAGATCCTGGAATCAATATGGCTACAGCTACACTGCATGTATTTCAAACTAACTGTATCCTTTTGTGTGTGAAACACCAATATGATAAAGTTTTCAGTGTAACTTAATTTATGAATTTGTATAATAAAACTGAGATTCAGAATCATTCAGATGTTTGGCTTATAAAAATGAATGAAGGTTCAATATCGTACTACTCAGATTTCAAAGCATATAGAACACAGTGGATTTAAACTCTATGGGCCAGACTTTTCATACACTGTATGCATGCCTAATTTGCAAGTATATTTACATGCCTAATTAGATGCACCTCCATGCAGTTATCCAAATTACATATACAGTTACAGTAACTACACATGAAAATTGCATGTCTACTGCACTTGAAAATCTGGACCTAGATGTATCTATCCCTCTTAGCCTTAACTTACTGCTTTTGACTCTGCTTTGATGAAGATCTTCACAAGTAAAAGTAAAAAGCAAAAATATAGTTACAGCAGGTGTTTGCAGTTGGTGCTGTTATAATCTTACAAGGTTTTTCTTAGCTTGTGAACAAGTTTTGACTCTTGGAGAGACATGTTAGATGGTTAGCTTTGGGCTCTGCCTAGAGGCAGCTTTGAGTGGGAAGAAGCTATTTTGGAGTCTGATAAGAGGGTACAGTTATATATAATCAGATACAAAACTTGTACTCAACATTTTAACGAAGTAGGTAAGAAGTGTGTGTATGTTTTTTCTTGGGAACTGGATAAAATTATTAAATTCACGTACCCACTAAGGTTACCTAAATGAGTTGTTCTGCAAGCAATACAACTAATGCATTGTAATGGAGATTTCAATTCTATCAGATAATTTAAGCAACTTTATATTTTTCTACCCCCAAATGTAATGATGAAAATATTTGTAAAGCTAGCCACAGTATAGACAGATCAGTTCACTCTGCACCTATAGGTTTATGAAACTGCCAAGCACTAGTCCAAGAAATGTAAGTATGCCCTTCTCACTCAAGGTGACCTGCAAAAGAAAAAAATTGGGCATGCAACCTTCTTTGATCTTTTTATAGAGCCTGAAGTGGTTTTTTGTTGTTGTTTTTAAATTTCTGCTGGTTTTACACTAGAAATTCAAGGCTTGTCTAAGCTGAAAGGCTCTGATGACAAGACAAATAGTGAAATGGTGACTTTACAAGTATTGAGTCAGAGCCGAGTAATTGAGACGGGAAGAGCTTTTTAGTCAGTGTGTTTAAACACCTTGTTTTTGTTGAGCTTTGTTATCTGTTAAAGAATGGCTTTGTTATAGATTCAACACCCTTGCCCTTTAAAGGTTAGAGGTCACAATAAACATCCCAGAAACATCCCAGAAGTTCTCCAGCAAAACCAAGAAAAGCCAGACTTCACATTCCTGATATTTTTGAAAGTAAAAAATAAACTTAAAAAAATACTCAACCTTCAGGTTGTCTAAGCCTCCTACAGAAACAAAAAAGGCCACAAGCCCAACTTTTTCCCCCCCGAATACTTCATAAAGTACTTTCAGTGTGGTAAGTTTAAATAAAATACAGTGAACTTGTAATTGCACTTTTGTAGCATCTTGTGCAATGGATCTTTACTGTATTTAGAGGAATCATGAAGAAATGTAAGATTGTAGGACTTACTTAGAATAAAAGAAAAGCAGCTATTGTAAAGAGAGAGAGGGTACTATATCTACTGGATATAATCAGAACTGCTCAACTATGGCCTCATCTACACTGCAAAATGTTATCATGTCTGAACATGAATGCCACCAGTTGAGTTAACTGATAAAATGCTGAACTGTTTAGATTATCTCTGTAGACCTGGCCTGTGCATTATCAGAGCTAAGACCTGAACTGCTCATAATCTAGATACCAAAAACTTGAACAGTTTTGAATAATGAAGGATATGAAAGTTTAAATCTGCTCATGGGCAATTCACAAAGAAAGAGCTGAAATTCAAAATAAATAATTTGTTATTAATTCAGCTCGCTCTGGCCACAGACACTATACTGCTAATGAGGAGTCTCTGTTAGTTTGGGTGCCTTCTCAAGTCTATCCCTGTTGTCTCTGTGAAGTTCCCAGTGATTATGATGTGCAGAAGTGACAGCTGTGACACCCTAAGCGTCTGTGGATTGACATGCAGAGTACAGAAAAACAACTTGATTTGCAGATGGAAGGAAGGTTCAGACACTAAGTTACTTACAATGCCCAGTCAACTGCAATAATTAAAGTGATGTCATCTGTAGGCAGCCCAACTGATGTCAGAACAATGACCATAGTCACAAGGCCAGCTTGTGGGATCCCTGCAGCACCTATGCTGGCAGCTGTTGCTGTGATACTTTAAACAAGAAGAGGAACAATAAGATTTTACAGCCATATCACACGGCTGGCAATAACACAAAGTATCTCTACATGACTGTTTCTGGACCAGAATCACTCACGTACAAGCCACTGCAACAGGAGTTGATGAACTGTTATTAGAAATCAGCCAGATGGCTAGAATGGGACACATTAGCCTGCTACATTTTCATCTTTTATGCCTATAGCCAAGTGGGTGAGCTCCAGTGGTAAGATTCTGCACTGCGCCTCTAAGTCATGGCACAGAACTTCTGACCTTAAGGGAAGGGACGGCAGCTAAAGTGGCTTTAAGCTACTTTTGCACCCTCCTGATTCTAGGCTGCTTTGCAGCCTTCAGTGTAATTTAAACAGTTGTGGGGGCCTGTCTCGATGATGTCAGCCTGTCCCCAGAATCTCTTCAATGCTGCATACTGCAGACTTGAAGTTGATACACACCCACCCTCAGTGTAAAACCTATGTCAAGGCTTGCAAGGAGGTCCTTGGAACGAACCTAATAGATGATGTCTGTAGTTCCTGCACCAAGGGAATCCTCCTCTGCCAGTCCTTTTATGCTGTTCTAGCCCTTCTAGCCAGCATATATGAACGGGAGTAGGGGTGAGGATCTCATCCTAGATCCTGGTTTCATCTATTTGGGTCTAAGTATGAAGCAAGCATGAATGATTTCATCCTTCTCTTATGTTTCTGGAAAATAGAAACCAGTCACTACTCCTGTTTGATTCTCATATTTTTCAGCCAGGCAGGAAGAGGGCAGGGGGACCTGGCAGACATAAATTCCATCCTCTGGAAAAGAGAGGATAGTTTTGTGATTAAGGAATTAGGCTGGAACTCAAGACCACTGGATTCAGTTTGTCTCTGCCACAGGCTTCCTGTGTGACCTTGGGCAAGTCACTTAGTTTCTATATCCCTCAGTTCCTCATCTGTAAAACAGGGATGATAATAATATTTCCTGTCTCCTACCCTTTGCCTGCCTCATCTACTTAGTCTGTAAGATCCTCAGAACAAGGACTGCCGTTCACTACATCCTTGTACAGTATTTAGCACAATGGGTGCCAGTCTCCAATCTTGGCTGGGGACTCTAGGCTCTACCGCAATACAAATAGTGAATGAATGAACTGAAAATTTCATTTTTATTTGACACTGAGTATTGAACCAAATGTCTGACTTCAAATAAGAAATGGGACTGAGTCAGAGTGTTTGGATCATGATCTAGGTGAGACAAAGCTTAGGTGTTTTCAGATTGAGGGTACCATTTTGAGTTCCTCTTCCCCATATTCAGTGGGGGGAGTCTTAGATCAGGATTCTAGTTTGAGACCATCTCTGATACAAATATTAGTTTCCATGCAGGCTTAAGCTCTCTACTACATACTTGTTCAGTGTTCTATTTAATTAGTGCTCTTTTTTGGAAAATGGATTCCCTTTTCTAGGAGCATAAATGATTGGGTAGATTGACAGATGGAAAGAGGTAGATAGGAGGAAGAGAGTTAGGCCAGCTACTAGAAAAGACAAAACATAAATATAAAGACAGTAAGTGGGTGACTTACTAAAGAAAATAGTAAGTAATAACCATTTGCATTTATACAGTACCTGTCATCCCATGATTTCAAAATTCTTTACAAACATTAGTTAATTAAGCCTCAAACTGTTGTTATCCCTATTTTCCAATGAGGACACTGTGGTACAGAGATGTTCATTGACTTACTCAAACCCACACAATGAATCCATGGCGCTATAATAAAAAGAACCTAGGAGTCTTAGCTTTCCCACAATACATAAATAAATTCCTTATGTGGGTAGAGGGAGAGTGAAAATTTAGATTTATAAGCAAGTTGAAAAAAATTAAAGCTTGTGTGGCATTTGGATACCATGGTGGTGTGCTTAGCCTAAACAGAAAGGAATGTCATCTCAATGTACGAAATGGAAATGAAATTCAGTGGTGAATGTTAAAGCTTCCCTGGACACCAAACTATTTCAGAACAGAACCTCTGACTCGGTTGCCAACCAGGATTTAGACCTGCTACTGCTCCCATTAAAGTCAGTGGTAAAACTACCAATGACTTACCTGGGAGCAAGTATAGGGCCCTTAATTAGTAAGATCAGGGAATTCTGCTGTTGCTCATGCTACTTTTCAGGCCAACTTCACAAATTCAGCCACTAAACAATGGTCCCAAATAGAGATGTTTGTTGGCATAATTACATTAAAAGGAAATTGGCAAGGTTAGGAGAGTGTCTTTAGTTCTTTCACTTCTACAGAGATGGGCCTCAACAAGCCCTTGCAATCTTAGTACCAGATCTCGATCCCCCTCAAACCTATCTTCATAACAGGCTGAGACAAAAAAAAAAAAATCAAACCAGAACATCCTGAAATTTGGGAATGTTCAGGTTTGGATCCAGATTTCAAATCTCCCAGCGTGGGAGCAGCTAAATCTAGAGAGGGTTTGTCCCATCTTAGACCGAAGATGTTTAGATTCAGTGGTGGAATTCAAGATTAGATTTTGGTGTGGGGCCGATCACTGTTAACAATCTGTTTTCTCCCTCTCTTTCCTTCCATTCTACCCTTGATTTCCCTCCTCTCTTTGATTTGTTTTTAATCTTCCTTTGTCCCTTTCCTCCTACTCTGGCTTTACTTATATCCCCTTATTTATTGGCATGAAGCCTGTGCTTGGCACATGAGCAGACATGGTTTTGCTCTGAGCAGTTTACAATATACATTCTTTCCATCTCCCATCATCCTTCTTGTTCTCTAATCTTCCAGATCACCCTTTCCATCTTCCTCTTCCATTTGGATGATTTTTATAACATACCACTTGTTTTTAGCTTTGTTCTGGGCCCATCTCTAATTGAAGTGTAACCGAATTATAGATCACAAAGACGAAGGGTATGTCTACACAGAAGCTGGGAATCACGTCCCAGCTGCTGTGTATAGATGTGCATGTGCTAGTTCTGCGCGAGCTGGTGTGCTAAAAATAGCAATGTGGCCTTGGCATCATGAGAGGCAGCTTGGGCTAGCCACCCAAATATGTACCCAGGAGGTCGGCCGAGACTGCACTCAGATGACTAGGCCAAGTCGCACGCTGTCACACACATTGCAGTCGCACGCTATTTTTAGCATACGCTAGTTTGAGCAAAGCTAGCACATGTATGGCTATTTGAGCTGTGAATTGTCTCTCCCAGCTGAGTAGACATATCGATAGCCCTGCACATGACCATTCTCACTTATAGTACAGGGTGAGAAGGCAACAGCTCATATGGGCCAGATTGATTTTTTTTTTCTAGTTTCACCAAACTTTCCCATTAATTCATAAGCAGACTCCAGTTATAGGAAAAAGCTAATTGAAAAAACTTTCTTGCTGTTGTCATTTAGGTCTTATACACACTAGAACTGAAGATGTGCAGGCCACAACAGTGTAAACATGCCCAGATACGATGGTGATGAGGTCAGAGGGTAGATGGTAGGTCGATCTCTAATGTGGTCAGGCCTTACTTATTATATGAATGTTTTTCTAATCATTCGTTCCTTGCTGAAAACCTGCAGGTTTCGCTCCCTGAGACGTTCTTTAACAGGCAGTGAAATCATTCTGGCAATAGTTAACTGATTGGAATTTTTTTTTCTATTTAGGATTGGTTATACTATTTTCAAGAAGAAGTTATTTAAAATATAGAATCTATAGTCAGGGCTCTCTAGCCAGTGAGAACTTACAAGCAGCAGCAGTAGAAGCCATGTTTAAAACCTGAGGAGGCCCATTCTGTAACGTAGATAGCCCTGCAGGCGTAAATTACAGCAGCCTCCTTGGGCTTGCCCTATGGGCCATGCAGTTGGAATCTCTCTGCCATGCTTCATTCCTGATGTGCCCGGCATGCCCGTGTTTTATCGAGACCTGCGAGGGATCCTTGGGAGGCAATCTTACAGCTGTCTTCCATATTGCCTGCACTTGATGATCGTCCCCTGGTCTGCTGTGGTACTTAGGGTTCCTGAATGCTGCTCTGGCCCTCCTGTGGTGTAAAGGGCAGAACTCATTGCTGAGGAGCTTACCTTTGAAGTTTACAATGTTTAAAGTTATTTGTGGAGGGAAGGGGCTGGTGTGTTCTTTACATAGTCCCCGTCCTATGCACTGGAAGTGCATCCCCAACAGCACAGGGATTTGGAGGGATTCATTTTTTTGTATAGGATTCAAGGGAAAAAAATTAAACACTGCTAGCAACAAAGTTGTAATCCTAAATGAATGAGCTACAACTGGCCAAAAAGCGAAGGACAAAAAAAGCCAATTTAATAAATTGAAATGCAATATATTTCTCCATTCATGTCTATTTTAATAGTGCTAATAAGATTTCCCTCCACACCGGCCCTGATCTTACAGGAAGCTTTGAACTGAAGATTGCAGCCGCAGTAATGTGCTTGATACACAAAGGAGAGAACGTCACAGATTTAATAAGTCAAATGGAAAGGTTGCTGGGCTTTTGTTTATACCTTATAGTAATAATCTGTCCAAAATCCAGCTCATAATTATTTACTTGAGCAATAAAGATTGCTGCCACTGCTTCGTAGAGGGCAGTTCCGTCCATGTTGATCGTGGCCCCAACAGGCAACACAAATCTGGCAATCCTTCTGTCAACATGGTTATTCTCCAGCAAGCACTTGAAAGTTATAGGCAATGTGGCTGAGCTGCAAAACATCCAAAACAAAAACCAAAACCAAACACATGTTGAAAGCTGTTTTATCCTCAGGGACTAACATTAAAAGCAGCAAACTCATCTCTCTTCCCCTGCATATAGATCATATTCAATGCTGTATCCATTCAAGCCCTATTTCCTATCTTCGCTTCTGTGTCTGCTTATGTATCGGGCCAATCTGGCTTCACTGATAATGGGAGTTTTGTCATTGGCTTCTGTGAGAGCAAGAGCAGGTCAGTTGTGTTTAATGAGCACAAGGCACTTGAGCGTGTATGTGCAAAGTCTGCTTTGCACTGTTACACAAGAGACAATCGTTCAGTTCCCGCTCTACACATTTTTAAATCAATATTGGATGTTTTTCTAAAAGGTATGCTCTAGTTCAAACAGTGATTTATTCAGAAAGTTCTATGGCCTGTGTTAGGCAGGCGGTCAGACCAGATAAGCACAATGGTTCCTGCTGGCCTTATAACCTATGAAAGGTAGAAAGCAAGGGCTGGAGATGGTGCAGAAGCCATTTTGTGTGTTAAGCCACCAAAGGGTCAAGGAAGGAAAGTGTCTCATACAGCTCAGTTGTGATGCCTCTGGAATCAAAATTTCACTGTTGATACTTTCGGAAGGAAGTTCCATCCCGTCCTCCTTAGACAGAAAGTTGATAGCCCTGATGATAAGCTTTGAAGCGGGGTAAGATGTAAACCAAAGAAAGGCAAGGATCTCCTCAAGGCTCCAATAGGGATAGAGGACATGTCTCAGGCCCACCCCATCTCCCTTCAAGCATACAGTAAATAGGGCAGTTTTATTAAAATGTAAGTCTGATCCTGTGCCTGCACAGGATTTCTCCCCCTATCCCCCATGCTTATTAAATTTAAGGGCCTCAGCTCCTACTAACAATGAGAGTTTTGAACACAGACTGAGGGCAGTGTACGCCCTTAAGATATTGCCAGTGCCTACTGAGTATTGACACCGAACCAACAATAAAATACCTGTTTAGGCAACAATTTATCATGGCTGCACAGTAAACGGGATTATTTTAAAAACAGGTTGCTCCTTGCTCCTTGAGCTGAACTCTACAAAACTCTCTCCTCCCAACCCTCCAAGTGAATTTAGTGCTGGTGAAAGATGTCAGATAAATAGCCCTGGGGACTAAAGTCCTTTGTTTGTCCACAGATCAGATACAATAAAGTGCAAGGTTCCTCAACCATGGTGAACTGGTGGGATCACTTCTGTGGACCAGTGAAAGTACAGTTGAGTGTCTGTGCCCTCTCATTCCTTGCCCTCTCTGCTGATGCTGCAGCCAGAGAAGCCAGCTGGGACACAGAGATCTGTGCACTAAGGAGAAGATTTAGGGCTGGCCTACGCTGGGAACAGCTACATCGCTCAGGGGTGTGGATTTTCATCACTAGGTTGTTGGATGAATTCTTCTGTCAGTATAGCTACTGCCTCTTGGCAGCATAGGCAGTGTCTGCACTGAAGTGCTACCACAGTGCAGCTGCAGTGCTATGATAGCAGTTTGTGTTGACATACCCTGAGACAGAGACCACTGGTTCACTTCACACACACCGCTAAGCAGCCATATAACTGTAACCCATTTTGATCCCTAGCGATCAAATCACAAACCTGAGAATGGCTAGGTTGGTGGCAAATTGAAATTACTGCTCCTTATTGGCCAAGAATTGCACACATCCTATTTTTGTTCTCTCTTCTCCTCTTCCTTGCCCTTTACCCTGTCCTGCTTGTTCATCTCATCCATCAGTTATGTCTTTGATTGTAAACTCAATCGAAAAGACAGGGCAGGGTCTATCACTTGTAATAGATTTGTACAGCGCCTAGCACAATGGGGCCCTGACCTAGTTGGCCTCCAGGTGCTACTGGAATATAAATGTAAAACAGAAACCAACATCTTATAATGGACAGTGTTAGGCAATTCAACCATAGGCATAGCTGCTAATAATAATGAATAATTAACTTAAAATCTATTATTACCACTTTTGAGCTACTTAGAGTTCTGCAGTGACATCCACCTCTTTTATAGAAACTTCATCTCTTGCAACTCAACAGCTTCTTTTACAATGAATCCTTGTGTTTCTTTGTATGGAGAGGAGGGGGAAATGTTTATTCTTTTTTCAAAGTTTTTTACATTATTATAGTTTAACGCGTCCAGAGGGCATAACATATGAATAACAATCCTTCACGATTCTTTCTTATCTTACACAGACTATCTACCAAATGCCACATTAAAAATAATAAAAAATTCCAACTAAAGATGAGGTAAGTCCCACATGCTCTCTTGCAGTTAGGAGATGCAGGTGGTAGTTTGGGAAGCTAGCTATTCAGACAGACAGTAACCCACTCAGGACAGCAGAATAAAACTTGAAAATTCTGGTTCATGTGGGGTTTATGTGAACCTTTTCTTCTTGTTTCACATCCTTAAACTTTGCTTTCAGTTTCAGGCTCAAACAAATCTAAAAATTAAAGCAAAAACTCAGCAAAACCCAACATTTTTAATTTTGGGGCCTATTTTCAGTCCAAGAGGTTATGAAGCCACTGATATGATATGATATGATGATAAGAAGCTACTGAGTTTTTGCATGGTTTCAACCAGGAACCATAGACTGTGCTAGGTTCCCAAGAAAGTTGGCCCAAGTTCAATCAGAAGGATCACTAATCTCTGAAAGCCTGTCCTAAATTTTGCAGTTTTCAATGAAACTCAAATCTAGCATTTTTCACACCCCTCAGTGATGTAGCTGTGTGGACCTAACTTGTTGGTGTAGACCTGGCCTAACTGAGTATTAGTAAAAGCAGCTTTTGGGGTCTAATGTCAAATGCTGAGGAAACTGTTAGGTTTTAACACTTGACCCATACCTTGAGGCCAAATCTAAAGCACTGTTTTTGAATAGCTAAATATGCTTCAGAATTTCCTGAAGCCGTTAGTAAAGAGAGGAGGCATCTTGTCCTACTCAGGACTGTTTTACTGACCAGCAATTGCAAAACAACTACAGATTTATCCCACTCCATTTTGGTGATTGTACAGTGGCAAGGATTGAATACAAACCAATATTTCAGTTATGCAAAGCTCTAACGTAGGCCACAAAAAAAAAAAAAAAAGAAAAGCCAGTCTCTACAGAAAAAGCACCTTCTTCGGCTGGTTAGCCCTGCCTGTTTATCTTGCAAATGAATCCTAATTCTTATTATTGCTCCAGAAAGTCAACAAGCTGACTTAATCTAGAATTAAGTTACACCTCCCTTTTGTTAAATCTGTCTTTACTTTATACTGCACAAGAGCCAAGGTTTCAGAGTTTCATAAGAAGCAAAAAGCCCCTTGAAATGTTCACATTTTATTTACGCTGTGTGCAGAGGAAAAGAGAACTGGTTCTTTTGATGGGATGCACTATTAAGAAGACGCTGCCTTTGATTCACTGACATTGTAGAAAGATGACTATGGAGAAAAAAACCTTCTACATGTTCTAGGGAAATTATAATCAAACCAAGGGGCATTCTATCTATCAGCCAAATTCTGTCCTTCACACTGTGAGAGGTGCCTGGGGGGAGGAATGGTAACAGCGACAGATGTTCCCTGAGCCAAGCCTCCCTTAGTGCCTGTCACAAAAGCTGAACAATGTCCAAGGGCCTAAGAGCCTGGGGTCACCACCCAAACTAGCTGGCCACACACCCTCTTGGGGCTATGGAATGCTACCCAGTATATCACTGGAACCCCCTGCCAAACACATAAGGAAACAAGCATATGTTGTGCTATGGTCCTGTGTGGGTGCACTGTTTGGGGGGATGAGGAGGAGGGTAAAAGAAACTTCTGCCCTTTCCGCCCTCCACCGATATATATGTGCAAATAAGTCAGAATTTTGCCCTATATGTTTGACATTTCCATACAAATGCCAAGTATGTCATTGGCATCTAAAGTGATAAAACTGGACAGCACATGGGGACTGATTGTTGGATGGAGAACCCTTCACTTACAGGTTATGGGTTCCAGTTATGCTTAGGTCAGCAAAGTCATTGCAATGAGATGACTGCTTGGTGGCTTACAGTTCCTGTAGCGGACAGGAGTTCACATCCCAATGCTACCAGCACCATTTCCACAAAGTGGCACCCTTACTTGCAGTCTTGGCAGAGGTGCCAAGAACTAAATTAGCTTTGGGGAATGTCCCTCAAAAAGGATCCCTGGAAAACAAAGATAAGGCAAATTAAGGAGTTGGTGTGGGAAGGCTTGCACTAGTACTGCCTTGTTTTACCGGATCTGGGGTTAGCTAGATGTATTTAGACTCCTGGTCTATCATTCCATCATCTTTCACCAACGCTAAATTCAGTAAAAAGATGAATTATCCACTAGAGACTCACTAAGCTTTGTCATAGTCTACATTAGCGTTGCTACATATAAAGAGCCAGGTGAAGAATAATTTACTTTTTGGCCATGGCTTTATCCAGTATAATCTGTATTTAAAAACTTCATCCTTCCCATCTGCACCCTCCACTCCCATTTGTCTGTCTTGTTTACCTGTAATTGTAAGCTCGCTGGAATGGAGACTATCTTTGCTAGGTGTTTGTACAGTGTGGCCTTGATCTTTGAGTGGGTTTTCCAAGAGCTACTATAATAACTAATAATAATAGGCAAAGAAAACAGCTGGCCCTTGACATGAACAGGGAAATCTCCCAAGAGTGATTTGTCTCACTTTTTGTGCATGGTATGTCTTTTCTATAGTTACGATCTTTAACTAAAGAAATCTTTCCACACCCGGTGGTTTTCAGTGTTCTGTCTATCATTAGATGTAGGCATGCACTGATGCAGAAACATATGGTAGAGACACATTAGTAGGCCAACCTTTTGTTCTGCTTTAAAATGATCTGATAATCCAATGCCTGTATTATTAATATTAATTTGTTGCCTTTGTGGCAAGTATTACTTAATCAGATACAGATGTGATGACTGTCAGGAGAAGCAGCTTTACTTTCCAAAACCAATTATTTGTGCATGTTCTTTTGGCAACAACTCAGTTATATGCAGTATCTATTCTTCTCACTATCACCAAGGTGAAAAGTTCAACTATCTCATCACAAGATGCTACCATTTAAGAGGAAAAACACCAAATAATGTATTTTTTTTTAAAAAGAAGTCTACATTGCACTTGCAGAAAAATGCATCTGTTGGTGCAAACGGGCAATTGCACATGCAGCATACAAAGCTATGCACAGAGTCACTTGAGAATGTGCACAATTTTCTGCTTGTGTCCGTACTGGCATTGCAGACTATCAAGGAATGCTGTGTAAACACAAAACACAGTTTAGACAGTTGGGTCTGTAGTTTGGTCACTATAAATCAGGCCTGACTTTTGCTGTATATCTTTGACTTATGATTTTGGTACATTTTAGAAAAGAAACTTTGAAAAATTCATGATACCATGACCAACCCGTACCCTAGAGACTAAACTACAGAGAAGGTAGCTAATAGTTGCAGAATGATCTGATGGGCTCCGAGATATAGGCAGACAGATGATGAGAGAAACCAAAGGTAACATACATAGGAAGAAATAATGACCTGCTTCAATCAAAAGGGGAAATAGCTGTTTAGAAAGCAATAATGCAGAAAAGATCAGGTGAATAATACATTGGATATGAACTCACAAATGTGAAGGAAGAGAATCTATTGTATGACAAAGGAAGTAACTGTGCTATTTTATAAAGCCCCGGTAAGACGACACTTGGTAAGTATAGGATTCTAACCTGGTGAAAAATGCCATTATCTTTCTACAGTACAAACTGGAAGAAGAGAAAGGGGCACTTTTTTCTGGAGCTGAGAAAGGTAAAACAATGAGAGACACAAGTCCTAAAGAGGGAAAAATTCAGGTTGAATAGATAAGAAAATGTCCTTAGACTAAGGGGAATTAAGTAATGGAATAAATGGTCCAGAGAGGTGTTGTCACCAGCATTAGAGGTTTTCAGAACCAGGACTGAGGAAACCTTGGTGGGATCAGGGGAGAGTGTTGAGAGGGAGCCTGAAAGGTCTTTTCCAACACTAAGATCTATGACTGTAAGATCATCATCATCTGTGAGTCTGGGGAATACAAATGCATCTGAAGCGACAAACTTTTATGTGTTGTTCTACTTAAAAAATAGCCTTAAACTTTCAAACTTCATTAGAACTAATAAAGCCACCCAAAACACAATTTGCTCCTGATTTCACTGTGCAAAATATACTGTACTATATTTCAGTTAGCAAGTTATTAAATTTTATAAACATCCTGTAAAATGAAATTTATAATAGAGATGCTGACAGTCCCTTAATTTTTATGGCCTTTAGTTGGAACCATTATGATTTCAGGAACATATGGATGCAGTGTAGACTAGGTAGCCCAGGAGACAATGGAAGTTTCTAGGTTCTGTTCTCAGCTCTGGAACAGACTCTCCATGTGACTTTGGGCAAGTCACTTAACCTCTCTGTGTCTCTGTTTATCCGTTGGTAGAATGGGGATAATGATGCTTATAATATTGACAGTAATTAGCACATTGAACCACAGATTCTGGAAGCCCTAGCATCTGCTGAGTGAAACTGACATGATTCTTGTCAGTTTCATAGCGGTCACCCACCAAATAGCAGCAATTTCACTCAGCAGCTGCTGAGATCCTGGGGGGTATATTTCATTTTTCATCGGGTCCAGAATTGGAATGAAATCAAATTTTGAAATATTGACATTTCCTGCGCACCTGAACTTCCAAGTTTCAGACAGCTCTAATTAGGACCTCAGAGGTATTTAGTAATATCAGTGCTTAATACCTGGATGATGTCGCCAGAGCAATTAGCAAGGCTTGAAGAATCCCTCTGATGAAAACAATGGGGTTTTTCTTGGTGATAAAGAAGTACATCATTGGCAAAATGAACAGTCCATGAACCACCAGACCACAAACCACAGTAATGGCATAAAAGCCCAACTTCTTCCCAATAGCTGTAGGATCATCCATTTCCAAGATCTTGCCAGCAATAAGAAACACTATTCCAAAAGGAAAATACCTACGTGAAGAGAGAGGGAGATTTATCACTATGAGCCAGATCATTTCCACCAAACAATTTAGTGAGATAACAAGTTCCTGTACTTTCATTTCAATACAGACTTAGGACTCAACCATTCAGTGTTTAATAAGCATGGAGGGTGTTCATAGGAGCATCTTGTAGGACTGGACCCTTATTCCTTTTCCATTCACAAGTTCTGGGAAAATGTTTTTATATCAAATTATTAGCAATGATACTGTTTTCTACTGACTGGCCTGTAGGACACACACAACACACTCAAATACAATTTGTTAATAAAGCAGTATATATCTAATCTCTCCCTCAATGTATGTATTTTAAGGTTCCCATCACCATAGTAGTTAAGGCCCAGATCCACAAAGGCACTTAGGTGCCTTAGTTCCAGTTTTGGCTCCACTGTGACCCACAAAACTATCACTGAGTCCTGAAGGTGCCTAAACTCACTCGGGACCTACGTTTTCATGGTAATAGTTCCCTAGGTGCCTATTTTTCTGCCTCTGGGCACATGCACTGCTGCCTCACTCTTGGGGTCCAGATACGTATCTCCTGCCTAAGCCCCAGTGTGAGTCACAGACCAGGACAAGGTAGGCGCTCAGACACCTAAGTTGCATATAAGACCTGATCCAGAAGGCATGCTCAAAGCCTGCCTACCAGATAGAGTCTGAATGGGACCCTAACAGGAAGAAGAGATGGTTCTGGTACCCACCTTATAACAGCCCAAGGGTTAACACAGTCACCTGGTATGTGAGAGACCCAGTTCAGTTCCCTCCTCCCTGGATTTAAACAGGGGTTTGCCACGTCTCAGGAGACTGCTCTAACCACTGAGCTATGGGATACTCTGGTTTTGGGGAGGAGAGGTTGCTCACAGTGTCTCCTGCTGAAGATGTTCCAGTGTGGATAAATAATGAAACAGTGACTGGAGCAGGGGGAGTGGACCAGGATCTCTAACCACTGGACTACAGAGTCATTCTCTCTCTCTCCCCATGACTGTTTAAGTATTTATCCACAATGGAACAGTCATGGGTTGAGAGCGAGGTGGGAGACCTCCATTCAAATCTTTTCTCCTCCTCCGGCAGAAAGGGGGGAATTGAATCTGGGTTTCTCACATTCCCGGTGAGTGCTGTAATCTCTGGGCTAAAAGTTATAAGGTGGGCATTGCTGCTGCTGCAGTGATCCTTTCTTACCTCAAAGCACTTTGAGATCCTCAGATGGAAGGTGCTATGTAACTACAATGTATTAATGATGTAGTAGCAGTATTTACTCATTATTAAGAATGTTCACAAAAGTGCTGAAGAGCCATTCTTAAATTAGTGACATTGATGTAAAGAGCGAATGTCAACTATATTTTGAAAGTCGTCCCCCCCACCACCACACACACACATTTAATTTTAACAGCATCCCAGAAATTGAGAGCAGCATTTTAGGGATAAAGCTATGAGCAGAGGTGGATTGAGCTTTTGCAGGGCCCTGGACCAGAGGAATTGGAGGCCCCTCCCCACCCCTTCCGCCTGCAGTCGTGTTTCCCCCACCCCCATCCCCAAAGCGCTCCTGCCAGAGAGCGGGATCAGGGCACGGGGGCTTCCCCTGCTCCCTGGCAGGAGCACCGGGCAGGTGGAGCAGGGCAAGCCCCCGCGCCCTGACTCCGCTCCCCAGCAGGTGTGCCAGGTGGGCGGAGCGGGTTGGGGCAAGGGGTCACCCCAATTGTCCGTGTGCCCCAGATACGGGCCCCGTTGACGCAGTGGCTAATCTGCCACTGGCTATGGGAGATGCAAGAGCCAAGTTGTGAATCTAAGGGTATGTCTACACTGCAATTAGACACCTGCAGCTGGCCCATGCCAGCTGACTCAGGTTTACGGAGATCAGGCTAAGGGGCTGTTTAATTGCAGTATAGACATTTGGGCTTGGGCTGGAACCTGGGCTCTAGGACCCTGCGAGGTGGGAGGGCCACAGAGCTCGGGCTGCAGCTCAAATGTCTATACAACAATTAATCAGCCACTTATCCTGAAATGCGTAACCCCGAGTCAGCTGGCAAGGACCAGCTGCAGGTTTTTAATTGCATTGTAGACATGCCCTAAGATTTATTTTATCGTGCTAAAGGCTACTATTAGACAGATGTATTTCTATTGCTTTTCAAGGAATGTTCCTCCCAAGTTAGAATGTTTTTGTTAATCCATGGCAGGATTTGAAAAATTCTAGGCCCTGGAACCTTTTACAATTTTACGTATTCTTCAGGGTCTTCTAAGTAATTGATATTTCTAGTAACCTAACTTCAGATCTGCTCATTTACAACCAGCTAGGTCTATGGTATAAAGTGCATAAAACAGAGAACCAGATGCCTAGGTCTGTCTGAGCTGTGCTTGGCATGGGACCTGGGAGTGGGAATGAAGGTGGGCCATACTTTTTCTATTGGTAAGGATTTATGCTCTCTCTTGCACTAGGTAGCTTGTAACCCCACAGGTGCAGCTATGAAGCATGCACTGGCCATTTAAAGACAAGTGAACTTCCAGTCACTCTGACCCCTTGTCAAAAAGGTTACCAGACATGGAGCAGTGCAGTTGGGATTGTAGTGGGATGACTTTACCAGTATAGCTATTTCTGTGTCAGACTACATCCACGCTGCTATTGTGTTGATATACCTACACTGGTAAGAGATTTGCGCTGCTCGAGAATGGGGAATAGCAATTTTGCAATAACTGAGGGTTATTTCGATAGGAGACAGACATGAGTATAGATGTGTGGATGGCTCTGCTAAAAACAGATGAATTCTACTGGGCTAACTTTTGTTATACCAGGTCTAAGCCACCTTTCCATTCTCCTGATCTGGGATCAGACTTGCCCCCAATCTAATTTACGGGCATTCTAAGTTATTTTGGCTAGAGTGGTCCCTTAGGGCCTACTCTGCTGGTTGGGGATTGCCAGAGGGCCATGCACTGTCATTCTGTCCCTTCATGCCCCTGCCCACACCACTGGCCATGCCATCTACATCTGGAGCAGGTGGCATAGATCTAAATATGTTGCTTTATGGCACCCAGGAATTCCCTTTTGTTAGGGGAATCCCTGGCATCTGTGTTGAGGCAGCTCTCTGTCCTCTTTATGCCACTGGAGTGGTGCAAAGGGAACAGAGCCAGGGACCAGCATCTGGCCTTGAATGTTTGCATAACTTCCTTCAAGTACTAACGCCATACAAAGTTGAGGTTGTTGTCCCTCATGAATTTGCCTGAAAACAAGATTACATCATCTCAGAGCATTTTTTTCTGTTGAAATATACTTCAACTTTTAAAAAGTTATATTTTTGCTTGATAAAACAGCTACTTACCACACAGAAACTGCCACTATCTTCATGACAGATTCATTTAAACACTGGCAAAAACTGACCAAGGGAACTCCACTGTTACCCATTCTGCCCAGCATTATACCTGCAATCAAACACATTATTGTTTTAATTCTCATTTACTTTTGAAAATCCCCAACATACTCCTTCTCTACTGCAACTCAAAGTGAACTAAGTATGGGGTGGCTAGCTGGGTTAGATAATTGGTAGCGGGATAATCCAACAAATCTCTGTGTTGTAGAAACGGAGATATAAATCACACAAACAAATATAGGGCATGGAGGACAGCCCTTGGTTCTTCTGCTCCACAAAGACAAACATCTACCATTTAAGCTAAAGGAGATCTCCTTTGATTTCCCACTAGGAAATCCCTCACCTTCTATGCACCAGTCACTAGAGGGCAACAACACTGACATTATATAGATGTAAGCAGTGTCAGGATGAGCTCCACCCTGACATCTGGTGGTGAGGTGTGGCAAGTTGTGGAAAAGAACTTCAGGGGCCGATCTCATTTGCATAGGCACACCCACCACGCCTAGAATGAGACCATAGCTGCCCAAATGGTCACTTTGGCTGCTGTGGGATCCCCAGTGTCTCTGTTATTGGGGCAGGAAGAATAAATTGTTATTACCCTGATTATGGGAACTGTGCTTGGAACTGTACGTGGCCTTTTGTTATGATGGATGGATTCACCATCAACTAAGTAGCACTCGCTAGGCAAGGGTCATGGGTTCCAAAACTGTGTGAATGGAGAGAGGCTGGGGACAAGTATTAACACTTGGTGGTATGGGCCCCTTGGTGAGGGCCTTACATGCTAATTGCACTTCCTCCTCTCTCCACTGTGGAATATCAGAGCTAATTTTGATTTCATTAGAAGTCTAGCTATAGGCTGCTGAGCTCATTTTGGACTGACAGTGCACCAGCACTGGGGCTCCCCTACTACAAGCTGAATTCACCTAAGAGCTGAAATCACTGAGTGTTGTGTTAAGTAGTGGGGGAGCCTGAAGCTATATTGTGGAGCGGTTGGCGGGCCGGCTGGAGTGCCTTGCGGACCGGCTGGTGGAGCAGTTTGTGGATGGCAGGAGCTGCTTGTGGAGCTGAGCGAAGGAGTTCGTGGGGCGGCTGGCAGAGCGGAGCGCAGCTGAGCGAAGGAGTTCGTGGGGCGGCTGGCGGAGCGGAGCGCAGCTGAGCGAAGGAGTTCGTGGGGCGGCTGGCGGAGCGGAGTGCTGCTATGGAGCTATGGGGCGGTCAGCTTCAGATCATGTAAGGTGCCTCTTACCCCCGTCCCATTTCCACCCAGGTTGGGAGGTAAAGCTCCGCAGATAAACTTTCGAACTCTGGGGCTGCCCTGACCAGGGACAGAGACTTTTGGGGCATTGGACTTTTGGGACTTTGGGTGATTTGGGGTTGCTGGACTCAAGAACCAAAGGGAAAAGGGCATGCCCCAATTTGCTTGGGGTGGGTTTTTTTTGCTCATGGGTTGTGTTATGAATCCTGTTGGTGGTGTTTCCCAAACATAATGCCACATTGTTTCTCTCTGTTATTAAAAGGCTTTTGCTACACTCAGACTAGGTGCTTGCGAGAGGGGAAGTATTGCCTCTTGGAGGCGCCCAGTGGGGGGTGGTATATATTTATCCCAGGTCACTGGGTGGGGGCTCGAGCCGGTTTGCATTGTGTTATTGGAATGGATCCCCTAGATATTGAACCCGGCCCTTGTTGCTGCCAACTCTGACGGGCAGAAGGGTTACATATATATATATGACAGAGAGAGAGAGAGAGTGTGTGTGTGTGCATTTCAGGGTAAAACTGATAACAGGAGCCTTTCTCTTCTGGCTCACCAGTTTAAATCCAGCCCAGACTGGCAGTGACCAAAAGCCATTATCTGACGTCTGTGAAATTAATTTGGTCTCAGTCCATTTCTAGTGCATAAGCATCTATAAGATAAAAGCCACCCTCACAACTGGTCCTTTTTGCCACCCTGGCTTAGCAGCCTTAGCAGAATCAAGCAAACGCACATGAGTACAAGGAAAGGGCCAAACTACTGCACAAGACTAATCAGCAAAGGAAAAAACACATTCATATGCAACCAACAGTCATAAAGGTAGGGGATCTAGTTCCAAGAATAGTTATGTAACTCTATATTTTCTGTATGGTGTTATGTTTATTATTAGGTATACATTATTAAAACTTATCTATCATGTTCCTATTTAATTTGCTGCAGTGATCCCCTGTGAGGATTGTAACGGATCATGTTAATCACTCAAGGAAGCATTTCAGAAACAAACTGCACCAAATCAATTTATGTTTGAAGAGAACTTTACAAGAAAACGAAGCTGTGAGTGGGGTGCACTCTAACAGTTATTCTGGATGGACAGAGTGTTTGGTTTGACTGGGGGCCCATGCTCTCTCACTTGGAGTGAACATCTGCATTTGCAGGCCAGGTCCCAGATTGTAATGGTTCCAAAACAATCCCCTCCTGATGCAGGGGAGTGAGCCACTTAGATGTCAGACCCAACAATTTCACAATAACAATACATGCAGGATGTGGGTTTATATGTCTGTTAATATTCATCTAGCTGTAAATTTTTGGTCACAAACCACATTAAATTTTATTAACAATGTTGCTCATTTATGCTAACAGAATGTTAATTACAAAGTTCAGTTTTTTAAGCTAGACTGGCTTTATTAAGCCATGGCAGCTTTCCAGGAGTCTTAGCTTTCAAACTTAGTAGAATGCTGAAGAGGGGAAATGGATCACCTCTTATTTTACAGGAATAACTGTGGTTTGCTTACAAGAAGACTCTTTCATGTCTGAGTATGGCAAGTGCTGGCAACAGGAGAGGTAGCAGGCAAGACTGGAGGCTGCTGAATGATGCGTATATGACTCACTGGTCTCTTAAAGCAGTAGTTCTCAACCAGGGGTATGTGTACGCCTGGGAGAACACAGAGGTCTTCCAGGGGGTACATAAACTCATCTAGATATTTGCCTAGTTTTACAACAGGCTACATAAAAAGCATCAGCGAAGTCAGTACAAACTAATATTTCATACAATGACTTGTTTATACTCCTCTATATACTACACATGGAAAAGTAAGTACAATAAATACACTAAGGGATGGTTTCAAGAAATCTTCATCAACAATAAAACCTCACCAGTTTACCCTACTGTCATTTGCACAAGCCCCTTTCTGCAGCCATTATGTAAGAAGCCCAAGTGGTCATTTCCAAGCAAAGTTTTTTACTCTCGGTGATTTAAAATATGATTTCCAATTCTTCAAAGTTTGCGCTAGACTCTCACCTCTTATCCATCACACACACCCCAACAGGGCTACACTTACCCAGCTAGGTGCCCTAGAAGGCTGCCTAGTTGAGGCCCTGAATCAGTGCATTTTAAAGTGCTTTTTTCACACCCCTTCTCTGGCCACCACTGCCCATTTTGGGGCAGAGTTGGCCAGGACCAGACACAACCTTGAAATTGAGAAGAGTCCTGCATGTGGCTTTCTTCCTAAGCTAAGATTGCTAAGCCACTCACCTCCTGCTTCCAGAAAAAGAAAAAGCAGGTTTCTGTTACTAAGAGAGGATGGGCCTGATTCTCAGTTATGCTAAAGCCTCTTTATGCCACTCTGGCAGTGTAAGGGGGCCATACGTTATGCCCACGTTAAAGCCCCTTTACTTTGCTAGAATGGTGTAAAGGGGCCTTGGTGTAGATGAGAATCAGGCCCAATGACTGAGCAGAACTATGAAGTTCATAGCAGAACTGCTATGAAGCATCCAGTGCCAAATGAATTATTTTGATGTATATTGTCATATTTTCATACATAGCATAGTTGGAGTGATGCTTTTCTTTTCCTCCAAGGCCCATCCACACACCCTCCATTTGATCCCTGCCACTTCATTTTTCCCTAGGATGGGAGGAAGGTGATGTAGAGCTCCTGCCAAAGGTCAAGAAATACCCTGTTAAGTGAGTTGCTCTATGGGCAATTTGTCCGGCTCCTAGAAGCAAAACACATAGGTGGTCTTAAGTAGCAGAATCTTGCGTTTCCTCAGCCACCAATCTGACACGATCTAAAAACGAATCTTTAATGCACATATATAATTCTTCTCCTGTCCCTCCATCACAGTCTTAGGTTTTTCAAGTGATGGGCATGTGATTTGGCCCAGTCTGAAGCCCTGGCATGATCTTTTATAATGCATGGTTCTTCCAGGAGCTGGCAGATCAACAGATGTTCCATGGTTTGTGTTTCACTGAAGTCGCATGTCTGGGTCATTGGAATAACCCTACTGCTGCATATTGACTGTTGACCTGCCAGCTCTTGTTCAGAGGCAATTTAAACTTGTCAGGTCAACCAGTCCTTCTCTGCACTTCTGTGAATGTGTTCAGCAATATTGACATACATTTTAATGTCCTCGCTGAGTATTTTGAATTGTGTGCACTACCTTTCCAGCCATATAGCCCTTGGTGAATTTTTAAGCAGTTCTGTTGCATCTAGGAAGCACCTGTGTACAGCTTCATGAGCCATGGCAGAAAGGGGTAGGCTGGGTCCCCAAGGATAACTATAGGCATTTCAACATCCCCAACAGTTATTTTCTGGTCTGGGAATAAAGTCCCTTCCTGCAGCTTTTGAAACAGACCAGAGTTCCTGAAGATGCGAGCGTCATGTACCTTTCCCGGCCATCCCACATTGATGTTGGTGAAACGTCTCTTGTGATCCACCAGAGCTTGCAGCACTATTGAAAAGTACCCCTTGCGGTTTATGTACTCGCCGGCTTGGTGCTCCGGTGCCAAGATAGGGATATGGGTTCCGTCTATAGCCCCACCACAGTTAGGGAATCCCATTGCAGCAAAGCCATCCACTATGACCTGCACATTTCCCAGGGTCACTACCCTTGATATCAGCAGATCTTTGATTGCGTGGGCTACTTGCATCACAGCAGCCCCCACAGTAGATTTGCCCTCTCCAAATTGATTCCCGACTGACCGGTAGCTGTCTGGCGTTGCAAGCTTCCACAGGGCTATCGCCACTCGCTTCTCAACTGTGAGGGCTGCTCTCATCTTGGTATTCATGCGCTTCAGGGCAGGGGAA